TCACCCAACAATACATCTCTCAGAAGATATCTCTTGTTCAGCAATGCGTGACTATGCCTATTTTGCATGACTGATGTAGAAGATATTTGTTTTTGACTCCTTAGCATCCATCCTCCTCCTCTTCTTGCAGCATGTCTAATGTTCACTTTAGAATCTTCCTGATCTTCACTCTCAAAACATGTGGTTGGGTGAGATTCCATCCTCATTTTCAAGGTAGATTGACCTAGTGTTATTGGCTTCCACAGCCATTGGCTCAGGGTTAGACATGAGACCCCCAAATGAGCCAATCAGTGTGGGAGACCAAACTTGCACGTGATTGAGTTAACTCCCCTGCTGGGCGATGTGGCGTCAGGGCTCCCGTGCTGCTACACTGCCCCACTCTTCTAGGGTTCAAGTGACTGTCTTCGTGCCCTGGCGTGTCTTCCTACAGCCCCATGGGTGGAGCTATGCTCACCTGTTCCTTTGTAATATAACCTCTTGCCCTGATTAGGATAGAATGTTCCATGGAAGTGCTTTGTGTGTGTCCCCTTCTCTTACTGTGCCCTTGGGTGTGGCCTACCCAGGTGTCAGTCAATCTGCTGACAGTGGACATCATGAAAATAGATTCAGCCCCCTGAAACCTGACCCCTTGCCTCATTTTAATAGCTTCTCCTCAATAAAAGGGGTCAGCACGTGCTTTCTCGCTCTCTCTTCCTGCGGACCCTTAAGGTCAGAGGAGCTGTCACAGCGATCCCAAAGAAAAAGGTATTTGTGTCTCTTGTGTGGTTATTTCATGCAGCCCAGTCAGCCCAGTTCAACTGGAGTGACCCCTGAGCCTTTCAGTCACAAACAGAAACCCGACAAATCAGATCATCACAACTAAATGCTAGGACTTTGGTTTGGGGAAGATTTTTTTCTGTTCACAGGCTGGGAAGTTGAGAGCTGAATATGTCATTTTAAAAAAATTTATATTCTATTTTTAATTTACATATAATAATATTCATATTTATGGAATACAATGTGATTTTTCAATACATCTATTATGTTGTATAATTACGAAATGTGGGTAATTAGCATTTCCACCTCCTAATCATTTCTTTATGTTTGGAAGTTTTGAGCTTCTCACTTCTAGTTCTGCATCAGATATAGGATAAACTGTTGTGAACTATAGTCACTCCACTGTGCAGCAGATCACTGGAACTTATTCCTCTTACCCAACTGTATGTTGGTATCTTTTATTCAACCTCCCTCTACCCCTTCTAGCCTCTATTATCCTTATCCTTTCTTCTACTTCGAGACCAAACTTTTTTAGCTTCTACATTTGAAAGAGAACATGATATTTTTCATTCTGTGCCTGGCTTATTTCACATAACATAATGTCCTAATTTCATCCATTTTGCCACAAATAATAGAATTTCATTCTTCTTTTTTTTTTTAATATTTATTTTCTAGTTTTCTGCAGACACAACATCTTTGTTTGTATGTGGTGCTGAGGATCGAACCCTGGCCACACGCGTGTCAGGCAAGCGCGCTACCGCTTGAGCCACATCCCCAGCCCCGAGAATTTCATTCTTAATTGTGGCTGAATAATATTTAGCTATGTATATTTGCCTTATTATTATTATTATTACTATTATTATTTTGGACATAAAGTGTAGAGCTTCAGTAACACTCTTGCAACGTCAGAGGAGGTTCTGGAACTGTGGAATACATTACATGAAAACTGAAGTTGAAGCCCTCATAACAAGAGGCAGAGATGAGACAGACATGGAGTCATTGCCCATGGATGCAGACATTGTTGAAGATCTTGTTTTTAGCAGTGCCTTGATATCAACCATACTGGGGGACTTCTCAGTTATTTGACTGTCAGGAAAGGAGGCTAAGTGATGCTGTTATCACAAACATCTCCTAAAAACTCAGGGGCTTACCACAACAGCTGTGTATTTCTCCCTTATGCTACCTGGGTTCCCTGCAGCTCTACTTGTTTGTTGTTTTTGATTTGGGACCCAGGGTGATAGAGCAAACTCTATTTAGAAAATCACGTATTATTTGAACAGAGGAAAAAAAGAGTAATAAAAATAAGTACTGGCTCTAAGTACTTACGTGCCTGGAAGTTGTTTCACATTTGTATACCATTAGCCAGAACAAATTACAAGCTCCAGCTTAATTCCATAGGATGGAGAGAAGCAGTAAATATTTTTAATATGAATAATGCAATGTACCAATAAATTTCCCTTTTGCTCAAGTGAGCAAAGTTCATATTTTCTGTCATTTGCAACCAAAAGAATCTTAACCAGAGAAAAGCTGGCAAAGGAATTTAGATACATTACAGAAAATAATCAACACATAGTAAACATTCAACAAATGGGAGCTGCTCTTTCCAAGCACATGAACACAGATCAAGTGAGAATTACATATTTCTCCAACAATCAAATCATACTTAATTTCTTTGTAAGATATTTTATTCACTTATGCACTAACATTTATTGATTTTTTTTTTTTAGTTTGGCAGATGATGTGCTAAGTACTAAGGAAGAAAAATGAGTATAATATATTTATATTTTAGTTCTCCAATAGACTTTTAAAGAAATAAACTAGAATTAAGGCTTGATATCTTTTACTGAAGAAAGTAATAAACATTTAGCAAAGGACCATTCAGAAAAAGGATATACATGATATACAGCAACGGAACTAGAAATATGGATTTTATTCATTTACTCACTACTTACCTGTCTAATATACACTTAATAATATCTAGCAAGTGCCAAATACTCTTGAGATGGAAAAAGCAAGTCATATTTGTTCTTACCTTTAGAAAGTTTAAAATACAATCATAAAGAGAGGTAAACTGAGATTATATGAATAGATTTTATGATAATAAAATATAAAATAATAATGCCCATGATATCTAACAAGGTCAAAGTCACCAATGACATCCATTTTGCCAGACCTAAGGGTCAATACTCAATCCTTACCTTGCTTGATGAACAATTGACTGAGCTGATCATTTACTTATTCCATATTTGCTTGGGGCACACCATTCCCTCCTGTTTTTCCTCCTGTGATAAGTCCTCCAACCTCTAGCCACACAATACCTAGTGACCTCATTCAGACTTCTGGCTTTAAGCATCATCTCTATATTGCTGGCCCCCAACTTTTTGACTAACCAAACTTCTCCCACAACTCCAAACTGGTCTATCCTATTGTCTCCTTGTACAACAATTATGTCACAGTTATTATTATCAAACTGTACTCCTGATCCATAGTCCTAAGTCTTTTTGGGGAGATGGGGGGTTCCAGGGATTGATCTCAGGGGCTCTCAACCACTGAGCCATATTTCCAGCTCTATTTTGTATTTTATTTAGAGATAGGGTCTCACTGAATTGCTTTGCTCCTCGATAAGTTGCTGAAGCTGGCTTTGAACTCACAATCCTCTCCTGCCTCAGCCTCCCAAGCCATTGGGATCACACATGTGCACCACCTCGCCTGGCTCCAAGTCTTTTATTATTATTATTATTATTATTATTATTATTATTATTTTATTTTATTTTATTTAGTTGTAGATGGACACAATACCTGCATTTTATTTATTTATTATTTTTATGCAGTCCTAAGGATCAAACCCAGGGCTTCACACGTGCTAGGCAAGCACTGTACCACTGAGCTACAACCCCAGGCCCACATAGTCCCAAATCTTTACTTCCCACTAGACTTCCTATCCCAGTAGATTGCTCAGGCCAACCTTGGAGTAACACCTCATCCTTTTCATTCTTCCCTCCCATTTATAATCCACCAGCAAATCTTGGGAGTCTACCTTTCAAAATACATCTTGAATCTGCTAATTTCTCTCCTCTACTCTAGGATATCACATTTGACCTGCACTTGCACAGTGGCCTCTGCTATCTGGCTTTCTGTCTTGTGATTTTCTACAGAACAGACAGAATAGCTCTTATAAAACTAAAGCTGATCTTGGTGCTTCTCTGTTCAAAATCTTCCAACGGCTTCTCCCTATCTTCTTCATTTGGATATGACTGTGAATCATTCTCATTACCCATGTCCCTTCAGCTCTTGCTCAAATGTCCCTTCACCAGAGAGGGCGCCTCTGGTATCTTCTCAAAAATGCTAATTCCTGCAAGGCAGGCGGCACCCACCATAATGCCAACCACTGGGAGGCTGAGGCAGAAGGATGGCAAGTTCCAGGTCAGCCTCAGCAATTTAGGGAGTCCCTGTCTCAAAAAAGAAAATAAAGGCCGGCTATGCTGGCACACGCCTCTAATCCCAGTGACTTGGGAGGCTGAGACAGATGGATCAAGAGATCAAAGCCAACCTCAGCAATGGTGAGGCACTAAGCAGCTCAGTGAGACCCTCTCTCTAAAAAAATACAAAATAGGGCTGGGGATGTGGCTCAGTGGTCAATCCCTGGTACCAAAAAAAAAAAAAAAAAAAAAAAAAAGAAGAAAGAAAAGAAAGAAAGAAAAAGGGCTGAGCTCAGGGGTAAAGCACCCCAAGGTTCAATCCTCGGTACCAACAAAGCAACAAACAAAAACAAAACAACACAAAAACGTCTAATTCCTTCTTTCTCCATCCTCTCTTTCCTGCCTTATATTTCTTTATCTTGCCACTTGATTTTATACTATAAACTTATCTGTTTATGCTCTTTTTTCCCTCAGGAGAAGGTGAACATATCATGGAGGTCTTTTCTTTCATTATTGCAGTTCTGATGTAAAACCAATATCTGGAAGAGAGTAGGCACTCAGATGCTATTATTATTCCACTAAGCATTATTCCAACACTAAATATATCATCTCTTGATTTATCCTAAAACATGGTAAATTTGCTGTATTAGTGTCACAAGTCACAGACAACAAGGGAGCTGAGGCACAGAAGCATTAGATAATTTGCCCACAGTGGCACAGCTCGTAAATGGTTTAATTAGGGATGTAAATGTTTTTCCTGGAGAGTCCTCCGGGTTCTTCAGCACCTAGAACTTGGGCAGGGAGGTGGCAGGATGACGTAGGAGACAGGGTAGCGCTACTGGGGCAAAGTGAGTTGGAAGGCGGAGTGAGCCCAGAGCCGGAGCTGGACTGTCTTCCATTCTTTCGATTTCTGAGAAATCAGCTCACACCCATCACCAGCATTTGAGAGTGGAGCCGGCGGTCAGGGATTGCAGGATGTACTTCAGCTGGGGCGCTGGCTCCCAGGGGCGAAAGCGCGGGCTGGCACGGGTTCCCAGGCACGCCAGAGGCGACCAGCTCCTGCAGGCGGCCAGCGGGGAGCGCCACTCGCTGCTACTGCTGAACCACCATGAGGTCCACTCATTCGGGGACAACAGCCTGGGGCAGCTGGGCCAGAGGGGAGTGCCTCGCCGGGAGCGGCCAGGTAAGCCCCCGGGCGCAGGGAGGGGCCCTGCGCTCGGGGCGGGAGGGTATTCTGCACCTCGGGTCCGCCCGGCCACCTAGATGCCCAAACTGCGCTTCCTGCCTCCGGAGCGCAATAGGTCAGTTTCATTTCCCCGAGCGCTTCTGATTTGTTTCGGTTTCCAGTTCCTGTTTCCTGCCAAACAGTAGAACTGACCTGGACCCCGCATCTCTGGACAGAGATGGGGTCCCTCCCTTGACTTTCCAGCCTGGATGGAAGCTGGAGGAATCAGTTTATTTTCCAAACATGGTTTGTGGGTTAGACACCTGTAATCAGCTCAGAAATACCACGGGAGAGCTTTTATTTTGAAATTTAAAAACATAAAATAGCTTTTTTCATTCTTGCTTTTTTTTTTTTTTTTTTTTTTTGTATCAGGGATTGAACCCAGGGTCACTTAACCACTGAGTCACATCTCCAACTTGTTTGTTTGTTTTTGAGACAAGTTCTCGCTATTAGAACAGCATTTTCACCATTACTGATTGTTATGGAATTATGGGGGGAAAAATCACCTGTAACCCCAACACCCAAAGATAACTCCTAACATTTGTTGCCTTTTTCTCCTTGCCCATTTCTGTGTGTATGTATTTAACTTTTACAAAAGTCATGTCATTATACAGTTTCGTATATGTAGTATTTACAATTCTGTAAATTGTGTCTTTCACAAATGTCATGAATATATTACCCTTTTATAATGTATTTTTAAAAATATTTTATTCTTGGTACTGGGGATTAAACCCAGGGTCACTTTACCACTGAGCAACATCCTCAGCCCTTTTTATATTTTTATTTTGAGACAGGGCCTTGCCAAATTGCTGAGGCTGGCTTTGAATTTGAGATCATGCTTTAGTCTCCTGAGCCATGGGGATTACAGGTGTGTCCCATCACACACGATTTATTTTATTTTGAGACAGGGACTCCCTAAGTAGCTCAGGGTCTGGCTAAGTTGTTGAGGATGGCATGGGACTTTAATCCCCTGTCTCAGCTTCCTGAGTTGCTGGGATTACAGATGTGCACCACCATGCCCAAGTGAAAATATATGTTAAATTGCTGCATAATAGTTCAGGCTCATGCCTAAGTGAAATAAGTCAATTCCAAAAAAAACCAAGAACCAAATGTTTTCTCTGATGAGCAGATGCTGATTCATAGTAGGGGGAAGGGGGAATGAAACATTCAGTTAAAGATCATAGTTCCTATGGGCCTTGCCCACCATAGTGCTCACCCTTTTATCTGCTGTTAAAAGATAAACTTAAGAACATTAAAATTTTAAAGAGTTTATTTGAATATTTAGTAATTCATGAATTGGGCAGCATCAGACCTTAGGCTATTAGATTCCACTGAGGGGGATTTGAAGGGATTCAAGATGGAAACTTGTAAGTATTTGAGGAAGCAAGACAGAAAACTTGATTAAAGTCCTTAGAGGTCATCTGGCAATTTCTGATTGGTTAAGCTTAAGTTTCATTTTTCTAGGCTGTGACCATCACTGAGTTGGGTTTCAGTTTGCTTACATAGGAACCCAAGGCATTGCAGTATCTCAGCCAGATGGTGTCCCAGTCTATTATTTTCCCATGAAGTGATGTAATACACATTGAATTTATTTTCTTGTAGCATGGGCTCTAGGTTTTGATTTAAAAGACTGTTGGAGCCAGGCATGGTAGCACCTGACTGTAATCCTAGTGACTTGGAAGGCTGAGGCAGGAGGATCACAAGTTTAAGGCCAACCTTAACAACTTAGCAAGGCCCCATTTAAAACAAACAAAAACCCATGAGAATATTGAATGAGACAGAGAATCTAAGTAATACTACTTTTTGAAGGAAAGTTTTATCTCGTACTTGTTAATTAACAATCTTGTGGGGGGGTTATTTTGTATTAAAGGACTAATTCAGTCATTGGCAACTCTACGTGTTGCTTTCGTGAGCTGTGGGAAGGAGCACTCTCTTGCTGTCTGCCACAGAGGAAGAGTCTTTGCATGGGGAGCTGGTTCTGAAGGGCAGCTGGGGATTGGAGAAATTAAGGAAATAAACTTTATACCTAAGTAAGTATTTCAATTCATTCTTTTATTTGTTCAGTAATTTTGAGTACCGTGTATCAGGGACCATACAAGATGCCAGAACACAAAGAGAACTGTGAGGAACACAGTCCCTAACCTCAGGGATTATAATATGGTGAGGGAAGAAGACAGGAAAAAAAAAAAAAATGTATGACACTAAATTTCAAGTCCCATGAAGGAAAAGGGCAGAGTGAATTGGAATGTGACCCATTGCTTTTTAACCTTATCTGTTGGAATGTAACTGTGGGGACCCACGTGGACACCCAGAGTATGAGGATTATTTAATTTTTTCCCTCTTTGGCAGTGCTATGGATTGAAAACCCAATGCCTCACTCATGCTAGGCAAATGGTCTACCACTGAGCTACATTCCCAGCCCCATGATTATTTCAAAGTAAAACCATTTGGACTTCAGAAGATGCAGAAAGTATCTTATCTGAACATCCTTTATCTGACTAAAGTGGAGGCTCTCCCAAATAAAATTGCCATGAACTCCCTTCTGTAGTTGTTTCCTGCAGATTCAGCCATTATCATTACCATCAAAAAGCCCCAAAGAAACTCTAATACTCTCCCATTGAACACACACACACACACACACACACACCCCTCAGGCTACTCTACAATAATAAGCACACATAAATACATTTTGTCTTTTCTCCTGTTAATCTATCTGTTGTGTTAATTTGAAAGCACCAGAAAATAAGTTGGAAGAGGAGTAGTTTCCTCCCAGTGCCATCTTTCCGCTTGTCCTAAACCAATTGGTTCTAATACTTTACTTAGTAAATGGTGAGGAATATCACATTTCCTCACAAACAGCTTCCCAGAGCAAGTATTATGACAAAAAGTTAGCTCTGAATTTTGTGTTCATGAATTACACACTTGGGGAATTTTTTAAAATGCCAGTTTTAATTTCAGGAAGTTATCTTTTGTTACCTCCTCTAGTCATATATGAGAGATCATGAGATTTGAGAAAACGAAAACTGACCTGCTAAAAGAAAATGACAGCAAATCTGGTTTTGCAGATCTAAACTGGCTTTATATATGATTGTAGAATTGGGCAGCAGTCTGGACCCAAAGTGGTTACTTTACCCAACCATACGGGCATGTTATAGTTGTAGCCAGAGAAAAGAAAGGACATATGGAAACTGAAAGAGAGGTGGAGACAGCCTGCACCTGTTTGCTTTAAACAGTTTCTGTGACTGAGATTAGGCTACTTGTTACAGAAGTAGGTTATGGTGTGATGTAGCTTCTCTTCTCATCTCAATTATTATTACCTATTTGCAGATCACTTACAATATGGCAGAAATGAATACAATATGATAACAGTATTATTAGAAGTAAGTCTTAAAGCTTAGCTTTCTAAGTCAATAGTTTCAGGCATTCCATAAGAATAAATAGGGAGTTAGGGTATAGTTAGGGAGTTAGGGTATAGTTCACTATGTATGAAAAAGCTTCGAAGCCAAATCCAAAATGTGTACAGATGCAGCTTTAGATCAAACTTAAAATGAAAAGGCTAGGATATGAGTCTGCTTCTATAACCTGATAACTGTTGACCTCTCTGAGTTCCTTTAGGTTCAACCATATGAAATTGCTGATGGTTATTTCTTTCTGATCTACAAATGTGACAGTTTTGTATGATTCAATCCAGAGATCTCTCATAACTTATAAGATGAAGACATGATCTAGAAATTCTAAAGCCTGTGCTCTGTTTTGAAGAAGCTTGTTTTTCTTTTAGGCCAATAAGTAAATAATAAAAAAAATTATATTGTGTATTGCCTTAAAGTCCATTACAAGTAGTGTTTGCATTATATACTGTTTTGGATTCTGTCCTGTATTTTTGTAAATGCTGATGTCATGTGAAAAACAGTTTGATATGATGTGATTTCTGCATAATGCTCTGAATGTCACAGTGAAGAAATTCAGTGAAGTGCAGGTAACCAGCAGGAGTAACTGTGACTCTTTTAAAGTAATCAAATGCCTATGATCTAATTAGTGGTGCACATGAATGGGCTAGGGGTGTGGCTCAGTGGTTAAGCCCCTCTGGGTTTAATCATTGGTACCAAGAAAAAAGAGAGAGAGAGAGAGAAATAAAATTTTCTTCCTACAACAGTGTCTTATATACCTGTAGATCTGTAATTTACCTGGCAACTCACCCTACCTAAATAAGGATTTATAGTAGATTTTGTATTATTTTTATTATAGGAAAATAAATGCTCTAGCTGACATAAAAATAATACAAGTTTCCTGTGGACACTACCACTCCCTGGCATTATCAAAAGGTAAAAATCACATTTTGGAACTCTTGAATGTCATTTGGAAGTAGTTTTCAGAATGATAACTGTTGATGTTGAATGAATTGGGGTTCATTTTAGCACATTTAAAAGTTTTTAACTTTCTAGATTTCATTAGATATGTTGTTCTTCATGTTGTTTTATTGTTGTTGTTATTGTTGTTGTTTCAAGTTTCTTTGTTCTGACTGTGCTTTAAATAGTGCCTTGTTCTTATCTTCTCATAAGAGGTCATCCCAGCTCATACCTGACTGGCCAACTCCCTTAGAACTTAGTAGTAGTTTTATTTCCAGCCCTTGGCTTTTTATGCTGAATGGCTTGTCTGCACTGGTAAACCAAGACAAGGGGCTATTTGTTTTTTGTGTTTTTTTTTTTAACTTAGATCAAAGAAAGAAAAGTCAAAATGTCAAAATTATGACCTCCACATTTTGCCTACTAACCTCTCCCATGCTGTTCATCCTCAATCCAAATTTCTTAAAGAATATTGGGGAGGAAAATCTTCTCCCTTACCCTCCTATGTTTAGTGTCGGGGGGCTTTGAATTGAATGAACAGAAGACAGATTAACAAAGGAAGGGCATCCAATTTTTATTAATCTTTTTGTACACAGGAGTTCACAGAAACAGAAATGAAACTAAAAAGAAGTGGTTAGACTCAGGGACCCATATACAACTTTAACAAAAGAAAAGGAGTTTGGGCTTCAAGGGAAAATAAGTTGTGAGAAAGTGACTAAAAAACATATGGGGAGACTAATGGAAGATAAGGGCTATTTTAGTCATTTTTTTTTTTTTGGTACAGATTCATCTCCATGTCAACTCTCCATCTGCTGTCCTCTCCCCAGGGTGGGAAAAGCAGACAGCTTCACAAGAGAAATTTACACCCTGCTCTTTTGCAGATCAGGGGAGGGCAGAGAACTCTTCCTGCCTCTGTTGATTCTCAGGTGCAGCTCAAATAATCCTTACACCAGGGCTAGGGATAAAGCTCAGGGGCAGAGTGCTTGCCTAGCATGCACAAGGTCCCAGGTTCAATCTCTACTATTGAGCTCCAGCCCTAGTATGGAGAACAGATGTTCTCATCAAACAGAAAAAGTAATTAATTAATGTATTAAAAAGTAAGTAATTAATGTATTAGATGATCATGGAATTCTTTTCCCAATATGTATGTAAATTAAAATATAATGTTGAACACGTTAAACACATGGAGTTTTGTCAGTTACACCTCAATGAAGTGAGGGGAGGGGGTGAGGGATTTGCAGGATTAAGTAGGTTCTACTTGAATTTGGTATTCCAGTGTGTGTAAATATGAATTTGTTTTCTTTATTTTTTTAGATGGCCAAGTGTTTTCATGGGGGAAGAACAGCCATGGTCAGCTGGGCTTGGGGAACGAGTTCCCCTCCCAAGCCAGTCCGCAGAGGGTGAAGTCCCTGGAGGGCATTCCGCTGGCTCAGGTGGCTGCAGGAGGAGCTCACAGCTTTGCCCTGTCCCTCTGTGGGACTTCATTTGGCTGGGGAAACAACAATGCAGGGCAGCTGGCCCTTAGTGGGAAAAATGTCCCAGGTGAGGAAAGTCTGGGTGCAAGCTGGGCAAAGGGCAGGGGCAGTTTCCAAGGCTAAAACAGGGGTTTCCAAACTGTGACACATGCGATCACCTGGAGAGCTATTTTATATCCTATTTCCACAAACTTAGTGCCTTAAAACAACACAAAGTTATTATTTTGTTGTTGTTGTTGTTGTGGTTTTGGTTTTGGTTTTTTCTTTTGCAGTGATGGGGATAGAACTCAGAGCCTTCTGTGTACTAGGCAAGTGCTCTACTGCTGAGCTGCAACCCCAGCCCTTATAATTATCATCTTACAGTTCCAGAGATCAGAAGTCTGACATTTGGACTCACTGGGCTAAAGTCAAGGCATCAGCAGGGCTGCCTTCCCTCATGGAGGCAGGAGGTGGATCCCATTCCTCACCTTTTCCTGCTTCTGTGTCCCCCTTGTGTTAATTACTCTGACATTAACAGCCCTCTTTGCGCTTCAGAGCTAGTGGTGGCTGATGAAGTTTTTCTTAAATCACATTATTTTGATATTGACTCTTCTTTCTCCCTCTTCTTCAAAGGACCCTGGTGATACCACTGGGTCTACTTGGATCATTCAAACTAATCTCCTCGCCCCCTTCTTTTATTTTTTGGTACTTGGGATTGAACCCAGAGGCTCTTAACCACTGAGCCACGTCCCCAACTCTTTTGAGACAGGGTCTTACTGAGTTGCTTAGGGCCTCACTAAGTTGCTGAGGCTGGCTTTGAACTTATACTCCTCCTGCCTCAGCCTCCTGAGTTGCTGGGATCCGCTGGTTCTAATTTCCCTATTTTAAGGTCAACTAATGAGGATTTTAATTCTCTCTACTTCCTTAACTCCCCTGTGCCATGGAACCTGACAGATCCAAGGCTCTGGGATTAGAAAGCAAGAGACCATTTTTCTTTGCAAGGCCATTATTCTGTCACCACAGGATCCCTTTAATAATCTTGATGCCCTGGTTAAACTCCATACCTATGAAATCAAAATGTCTTGGGGTGAGAGCCAAGCTTCAATCATTGTTAAAGATCTCCCAGGGGATTACAATGTGCAGCACAATTTGGAAACCACTGGCTTAGTAGACTACTAACGTTAGGGGAAATAACCAGTCCTTCTAGACAAAACTCTTCTAAATGGTAAAAACAAAACTCACCAAGAAGTCTGCTCCAGGAACCCTGTCCTCCCTGTTCAATTCTTTGCATTTGGCATATATATATTTAACACCTATTATGTGCTAGTACTGTGCTGAGCATTTACATCTCATTTTATTTAACACCCTTAATATGATGTAGTTTCTCTTCTCATCTCAATTATTATTACCTATTTGCAGATCATTTACAATATGGCAGAAATGAATACAATATGTTAACAGTATTATTAGAAGTGAGTCTTAAAGCTTAGCTTTCTAAGTCAATAGTTTCAGGCATTCCATAAGAATAAATAGTTTCTGAATAAATGCTAAAGGACAGCTCCATTTTTTTTTCCATAATAGTTTTCACTAGGCATGGTGGCACACACCTGTAATCCCAGTGACTCAGGAGGCTGAGGCAGGAGGATTGAAAGTTCAAAGCCAGCCTTGGCAACTTAGTGAGGTCCTCAATAATTTAGCAAGACCCTGTCTCAAAATAAAAAAATAAAAAGGGTTGGGGATGTGATTCAGTGGTTAAGCACTCCTGGGTTCAGTTCCCAGTACTAATAAAATCAAAACAAAATAGTTTTCTTTCTGTTTTATGTCCTTGAGTATGCACTTTAAAAATTATGTTAATGAATTGTAAGATAACATGAAAGGTATTACTAGGAATACAAATATAAAAACTCATGAAATTCTGAATCTGTTTCTCAAACTCTAAAAATTCTGCTTTCTTTCAACAGAGCAAAGCTACAAGCCCCGTTCAATTGGTGCACTGAAGAATCTAGGTGTAATTTATATCAGTTGTGGTGATGAGCACACTGCAGTGCTTACTCAGGTAATCTAAAATGTGTTGCAAATTTTATAAATCCCAGAGAAAGATTAACATCTGCTGAGTAATCTTGCAAGCAAGATGTCTAGGCTACTATAACAGTATACCATAGACTGGGTGGCTTAAAAACTATAGAAATCTATTTCCCATGGTTCTGGAAGTTGGGAAATCCAAGATCAAGGTGCCAGTAGATTCATGTCTATAGAAGACAAACTTTCTGGCTCATAAATGAGCATACTTTTGCAATGCCCTTACATAGTGGAAGGGATGAGGGATCTCTCTTGGGTCCTCTTTTATAAGAGGACTAATCTTATTCATGCTAGTTCTGTCCTCATGACTTAATCATCTATCAAAGACCCTGCCTCCTAATACCAGCATGTTGGGGGTAGGATTTTAGCATATAAATTTTGAGACATAAATGTTCAAACTATAGCATGATGTGTATATCAATATCTAGACATATTTATTCAATATATAGATATCTCAAAAGGAGGAGTGAAGCAAATATAAATCATATTTTCAAGATCCTATAATAAAAGCTAATTTCAGTATTAGAAAATATGTTCAGGGCTGGGGATGTGGCTCAAGTGGTAGCACCCTCGCCTGGCATGCGCGAGGAGCTGGGTTCGATCTTCAGCACCACATAAAAATAAAGATGTTGTGTCCACTAAAAACTAAAAAATAAATATTAAAAAATTTTAAAAAAGAAAGAAAATATGTTCAGATACCTACTAAGTTAGAGTAATGTAGGAACTAATCTTTCCAGCAATTATTCATTGACAGTGTAGTTCCTTTTTTATTTTTTAATATTTATTTTTTAGTTGTAGTTGGACACAATACCCTTATTTATTTATTTATTTTTATGTGGTGCTGAGACTCAAACCCAGGGTCTTACACGTGCAAGGTGAACGCTATTCTGCTGAGCCACAATCCCAGTGCTCCCCCTCCCTTTTTTTTTTTTGCTTACCAGCGATTAAACCCAGAGGGGGAGCTTAACCACATAACCAGCCCTTTTAATTTTTTTTTTATTAAGTATAGTACCTAGAAAAAAATTTTTTTTTTTTAATTTTAGCTGGGCATGGTGGTGCACACCTGTAATCCCAGCAGGTTGGGAGGCTGAGGCAGGAGGATGGCAAATTCAAAGCCAGCCTCAGCAAATCAGCAAGGCTCTAAGCAACTCAGTGAGACCCTGTCTCTAAATACAATACAAAAAAAGGAAGGGGGCTGTGGCTCAGTAGTTAAGCACCACTGAGTTCAAACCCTGGTACCAAAAAAAAATTTTTTTTTAAATTTTTTTAAAAATATTTTTTAGTTATTGATGGACCTTTATTTTATTTATTTTATGTGGTGCTGAGAATCGAACCCAGTGCCTCACGCATGCTAGGCAAGCACGTTACCACTGAGACACAACCTCAGTCCTTTTTTTTTTTTTAATTTTGAGATGGGGTCTTACTAAGTTACTGAGTGTAGCTTTGAACTTGAGGTCCCCCTGACACATCCTCCAAAGCTGCTAGGATAACAGTAGTGCTGCACTGCACCCAGCAACAGTATAGTACTACAGATAACAATTGTTATGGAAGCTACCAAGTAATTTTTATAATTCTCAATAGTTCACTTTATAGATTTTGTTCAGTTTCTTGCTTGGCACAATTATGACCCATTATCATGAATTTTTTTTCTCTACTTCTTGTTCTGGCCATGGAATGTATTCCAGTGAGTGTATTCTTCCTGGATCCGCAAGGAATAAACTTGAAAACCATTTGTATACTTGAAATGCTTATTTAAAAACTGTATACTGCACCTAGCGGCTTGGGAGGCTGAGGTAGGAGGATCACAAGTTCAAAGCCAACCTTAAAAAGTAAAAAGGGATAGGGATGTGACTCAGTGGTAAAGCACCCTGTGTTCAAGCCTTAGTACTGTATCAAACCAAACCAAACCAAATAAAACAAAACTGTATACTCCAAATGATTTTTTACTTTATGTCTTACAAGTCCTGAGACTCAAACCAAGAACTTCTTACATACTACTAGGCACGCACTATACCTCTAAGCTACATTCCTAGCCTGCCAAGAAATTTGAATTTTCTGTTTTTGTGGGGTTTCTTTTTAATATTTATTTTTTAGTTGTAGTTGAACACAATACCTTTATTTTATTTATTTATTTATTTATTATGTAGTGCTGAGGATCAAACCAGAGCCTTGCACATGCTAGGCGAGCACTCTACCACTGAGCCACAACCCCAGCCCTGTATTTTCTGTTTTAAAAGCATGTCTTAAATTAGGAAACTGTTAATTGTTTGAATTGTGTTATAACTTTTTTCTCATTCATTCTTTTTAATTATATGTGACAGTAGAATTTATTTTGATATATTTATACAAGCATGGAATATATCTTATTCTAATTAGGATCCTAATGAATTATATTATTCTTAGTTGACAGAGAAAGCTGGAGTTGTTTTTAATCATAAAATCATCTTTTGAAAATAATATTTAAAAAATGGTGAGATAAAGCAATGCTGTGCTTAAATTTTGGTGTTACTCTTGAGCCAATTAATTTGTCCATCCATTCATTCAACAGATATTTATTAATTGCTTTCCATTGTTGTGACAAACTACCTAAGAAAATCAACTTAAGAAAGAATGATTTAAGGCTGAGGATAAAGCTTACTGGTAGAGTAGTTACCTAGCATGCTCAAGGACCTGAGTTTGATCCTAGTATTGGAAAAAAGGAAGAAAAGTTTATTTTGGCTCACAGTTTCAGAGGTTTTTAGACCATGCTTTCTTGGCTCTGTTGTTTCTGGGCCTGTGGTAAGGCAAGACATCACAGCACAGAGCATTTGTGTTGCAAGGGGGCAAAATTGCGACTTATGGATTCGAGGGGAGAAATAAAGAATGTCCATGTGCTTCTGCACCTTTCAATTCTTTATTCACTCAAATTACTCAATACACTTCACTCTATAGGTTCTTAATAAAGAAAACGACGACGATCCTTAATGCTAGGCACTGCAATAGATATAATCAATTCACAGCAAACAATTCTAGATTAATTAATTCACAGCAAGCAATTCTAGATTAATTCTAAGCACTGCAAAACACACTTAATCATGACAGGCTAGTGACAGACATTTCCTCTGTGTGCTAAGTTCAAAGGTATTAAACCTTAGGCTTTATCTCCAGCAGATGCACACTCACTCAGATCACATCAGGTCCAGAAGCAAGGCAGCCTTTTCCTGGTGTGGAGTGGACGACTCGTTGAGGAGAGGGTCGTAGGGAGAAGTTGCAGCTCTCACCAAGGTCCAGACAAGTCGGTAGAGTTTGAGAGCAGTAAGGATCACACAGAGGCTCAGGAAACGATGACAAGTGATGGGATGTCAGCCTCATCAGGCTCTCCAGCTCCAGTGCATCCTTGTTTTGGCTGGCTGAATCCCTGTTCATTTGCTCTATTATTTATACTAAATTTGGGGGGGGGGGGGTTGACCCCGCTTTCAATCCTTATCAGCTACCACTGATTTTTCAGTGACATCATTTACCCTGGGGTCAGAAACATCTGTTCAGGTGGTCTCCACCCTGAGCTTCTCACCTTTCCCTCTTATCAAGTGAGGACAGCCTGCCAGGGGCTTCACTCTGTTTACCAAGGTGAGGGGAAGTAACTTGTTTGAGGCCATACTGGAGGGCTCTGTGGGTGTGCCAGGTGAAACTGCAGGTTTCAAACTGGAGTCAGTGGATTCACCCACTGATGATATTAGAACCCTCAAGACCAACTTACCTTCCAAAGGCCTCACCTCTGAACAGTACCTCATTGGGGACCAAGGCTTCAATATGTGAGATTTGGGGCAACATTTCAGATTTAAACCATAATAAAAGACTTTTTTCTTTTCCCCAGCTTTATTGGGATAGAATTGACAAAAGTTATGTAAATGTATGGTGTGCAAAGTGATGTTTTGATGTGAAATGATAATCATAATCAAGCTCATTAATATATATATATATATATATATATCACCTTAGATAATTATCTTTTTATGTAATGAGAATCATTAAGATCTACTATCTCAACAATTTTCAAGTGTCTAACAATTAGTATTAACTGTAGTCACCATGCTGTACAATACATCTCCACAGTGCCTTGATTTTAAGGGCATGTCAGAGATTTTGTGTGTCTAATGTTGTAAACTCTATGCTCACTGTAAGAAATAACAAAGGGGTCTGGGGTTGTGGTTCAGTGGTAGAGCACTTGCTTCGCATGCAAGAGGCACTGGGATAGATCCTCAGCACTACATAAAAATAAATAAGTAAAATAAAGATATTGTGTCCATCTACAACTAAAAAAATATTTAAAAAAAGAAATAACAAAGGACCCTTTCCATATATGTAGAGATTATATTTTACATATAGTTCTCATACAAATTCTTTTTTTCTTCATTTTTTTTAATTAGAGCATTATGATTATATTTAGTATTTGGGTTCATTTTGACAAAGCAGTACATGCAAAAAAATTGATCTCAATCCCCATCATCCCCCTTTTTCCTTTTCCCCTATGATAATTAATCTAGAGGCTTTAATTACTTTTTTTTTAACATGAAATTTATCTGGTTCCTCCTTTTAAAACAGGATGGGCGGGTATTTACATTTGGAGACAACAGTCGCGGACAGCTAGGACACAGTACCACTGCCAAGTCAAGAGGCCCACAACTTGTGAAAAGAATTAACGGCTTAGTTTCACAGATAGATTGTGGAAGGTAATAGGCTGGTTTTATTTTAAGTATGGGTGGAAAATGTAATGTTTTATTCCTTAAAAACAACTCATAAAATCTCTTTTTTCGGGGGTGGGGGGGCGTGTACTATGGATTGAAACCAAGGGTGCTTAACCACTGAGCCACATCCCCAACGCTTTTTTTTTTTTTTAATTTTTAATTTTGAGACAGGATCTTGCTAAACTGCTTAGGGCCTTACTAACTTACTGAGGCTGGCCTTGAGCTTGTCATCCTCCTGTCTCAGCCTTCTAAGTTGCTGGGATTATAGAATAGTATCAAACTGTGAAACTCTAAAATATGGGAGTGCTTTCCCCAAACTTTCCCCCTTCCTGGTATTAGGGATTGATCTCAGGAGTGATCTACCACTGAGCTATATCCCTAGCTCTTTTTATCTCAAGCAAGTGTTTTGCTAAATTGCCCAAGGTGGGCTAGAATTTATGATCCTTCTCCCTCAGCCTTCCTAGTTGCCAGAGTTATAGGTGTGTGCCACTGGTTTGACTGTTTTTTTTTTATAGAGCATTTTATCCTGAAAATTTACCTTTTTTCAAATAGTTTAACTTACCAACTTTTTTCTTTTTTTTTCTTTTCTTTTTTTTTTAAAGAGAGAGAGAGAGAGACAGAGAGATAATTTTTTAATATTTATTTTTTAGTTATCGGCGGACACAACATCTTTGTTTGTATGTGGTGCTGAGGATCGAACCCGGGCCGCACGCATGCCAGGCGAGCGCGCTACCGCTTGAGCCACATCCCCAGCCCACCAACTTTTTTCTTAGACATTTAACTTATTTAATAAGAAATTATTAGAAGTCTGCTTCTAATAGAACACCTTACTAGAAACTGGGGGTGGTGGACTGCTTGATAACAAAATTGTGGTGCTTGTATGCTTGAGTTGTTAAGACAAAATCAGTCTCATGCTTGTAGAATATAATGAATATTTACATATGTATTCAGACTTTTGCATAACATAATTATGAGGGCATTTTTGAGTATTTAAATATCTAACCCAGTGCATTAAGAAAACAAAAATAAAAATATTTGATTTAAAGCACAAATGATAGAAACCATAGTAAAGAGTTATCAATAACATTTTATCTTTAATGTTGGAATAAATTAATACTTACCATCTGTTTAGCTACATCATCTGGTGCCCTCTAACACTGATGTTATGATAAGGAATCTAGGTACTTAGTAAAGGTAGTTCTAGAGTTTTGTATTAGAAAACACTATCCTTCTCAAAAACCATTAGAACCTTGGTCTTTGTTATCTTGTATTCTCTCTTGCAGTTATCACACCCTTGCATATGTCTATACCACTGGTCAAGTGGTATCTTTTGGTCATGGACCAGGTTGCACAAGCAACCCAACCCATTCAGAAGCCACAACAGAGAACTTTGACATGAGCTGCCTGATTTCTGCCAGTGGTATGAATTGTCCCACTGATTCATCATTCTGTTAATGCCACTAAAGAGGAAACAGTACTCAGCTTCCTTCAAAGGAGCCCATAGAGCTAAGCTTCCTTTAGTACTTTTATTGCAAATTTGTGCATTTCTTCTTTTGCAGTGATTCCTGGAGTAGTTGACAATACTTCCTAAAAATGAAGATAATACAAAGGAATTATCTTATAGATTATTTATGAGATAGATTACTTATCAGAATAATATACTTTTATATATTTAATCAAACCTTTTCTAAAGCACATGAACCTGGATTTATTATGCAAATACTTGGAAAGCCTAGTTTGTAATTAAAGTATGTATGATATTTAACCTTATCAAAATTAATTTTTTATGCTGCTTATACTTAAAATTCAGGGAAGTATATATTGCCCATAAATGAATTAATTTGGATTGGTTATATATCAGATTTATCTTTTACTGCTAACAACTCGAAGCATGGGTTTCTGACTTTCTTTTAGACCTTGTGGATAGTCACATCAAACACATTTTTGCTGGAACTCATGCCAACTTTGTGACAGTTCATCAGGTACCTAGTATACTTTCTGTTTCTTTTAAACTTTGCTTTTTCCTTTAGATTTCAGAGCAATATTTGAGGCATTGTATTATTCACATGTATTCAGATTTCTTACTAAAATAATAAGGTCTTTGGTTAGGATGCTTTTGAAAAAGTATTATGTCATTCTCATTTCCTCATTTGCCAAACTTTCTAGCAGATTTGACCTGCAAATTCAAATTTATTGCCTTTGTACTTTTTTGTTTGTTTGTTTGTTTGTTTTGGGAATCAAACACAGGGGTGCTTTACCATTGAGCTACATCCCCAGCTCTTTATATTTTTTATTTATTTCCTTGAGAAAGGGTCTCACTATGTTGCCCAGGCTATCCTCCTGTCTCAGCCTTCCAAGTCATTGGGATTACAAGTGTGCACACCATGCCCAGGCCTTTGTACTTTTTATTAGTAAAAATATTAGTGATGGTAATGGCAGTAATGACTAATTTTAATTGTAGTTATGTATCAGGCACCAACCAAATTCTTCTAAATGGATCAACATGTTTAATGCTCAGATAAAGTCAACTGTCAGGTCCAGTTGATATTATTTGCTCCATTTTATAGAAGAAAAAACTGAGTCAAAGAAAGAGCATTGAAGGCAGAGGGAACCACACATAGAAAGGTCCTGGGGCAATACTAAGTTTGGTATGTGTGACAAAGAAGGCCAGTGAGGCTAAAGATAATAAGAAAAAATGAAGAGTTGTATAAGATGAAGCCAGTTATATGAGAAGGTTTCATTTTGAAATGTCCTGTAGAGGTGATCCAAAGACTTAGATGTCAAAGCCGGAGCTCAGGGGGGATGTTGACAATGGAACACAATCATGGAAGCTATCAAACTGTTGATGGTATTTAAAGCCAGGGGCCCAGATGAAAAGTCACAGGGACTGTATCATCAATAACGACTACCAGAAAACATGTGCCTATTCTCTGTCCAGAAGAGAAGAGGAAACTGCAAGAAGCACTTGTCCAGAGCCCTAGTTCCTATTCCATGGATGTGAAATGCCCAGGATGTTATAAAAACCACCTTAGTCTTCAGCCATGTGCAAATGGCAGTTTTGTGTGTTAGCTATTCCACTGTCCACTGCCAACACATGGAAAGAAAAGCGAGGCTAACAGATGCTCCTTCAGGAAAAGGCATCATCTTGAATCAAGATGTGTTAGAAACCATCCCAATAAACACATTTGGAATTCAAAAGAAAAGGCCGGGCATGGTGGTAGGTGTCTGTTGCCACAGCCACTCAGGAGGCCGACAGGCAAGGATCACTAGAACCCAGGAGATCAAGACCAGGAACATAGCAAGACCCTGTCTCAAAAGAAAAAAAAGAGAGAGAGATCACCCAGCTAGAGAAGGCACAAAATCAAAGTGACTAATACTGTAAACATGACTGAGAGGTCAAGTAGGAGTGGCGCAGAGTTTATTTTTGCTCTGGTCCAACTGGGTTCCAGAGATAGGAGGAAACCTGACTGGGGTGGAATGGACACAGCATAGGAGGAGGGGAAATGAAAACAAAGATTCTGACAATTCTTCCTTTTTTAAAAAATTGATTTTTTGGTTATACATGACAATAGAATCCACTTTGACATAATTATGGAATATATCTTGTTCTAATCCAGTCCCTAGCACCTCTCCTTCCCCTTCCTGCCCCCCACAAGATTGTGACAATTCTGAGAAGCTTTGATATGAAGCAGAGTACAAAACTACGTCCAAGAAGCAGAATTCAGTGCAGAATTGAAGAATTTGAGCAGAAATAGTTATCTCATTGTAATAAGGAACAGTGCAGATGAGGGTAGGGCCATGGTGAGCAGGGGATAGTTCTTGCCTGGTCCCTTCACTTTTCTCACTGATGAACAAGGCAAGGTCCTCAAGTAAGTGCGAGAGAAACAAAGGCGTGTGCAGGCTTAGGAGGAAAAGGAAAGAGTGCAATATTTGTCTCAGAGACTGAGAAAATACACATTCTCCGAAATTACTAGACAATAGCAAATGCCCAAATGAAATCTGTGGTCCTAGACATCAAGTGCAGTCATTCAGCACAGTTGTGTAGTTGTCTGCAGTGGTATCAGGCTGCCTGGATTTGATTTTGGAGTAATTCAGACTTGAGGTTAACTATAGGTGGAATTTTTCTAGCTAAGTATGGTAGGAAAGAAACAAAAGAGAGAAGTGACTGGAGTGCTGAACCACAGAACCTCAGCTGGGTAAGGAAGACAGGAGGGTGGACAGTGAACTAAGGATAGGGTGGAAGAATGGGAGATCCCAGAGCATCAAGGAACCTGGGACCAGGTTTCACTCGAAAAGAAATTCATCAGAAAGATGGTTTGGGGGCCAGGGGGCCACGGGCGCATGCCTGTAATCCCAGCAGCTTGGGAGAGAGGCTGAGGCAGGAGGATCACAAGTTCAATGCCAGCCTCAGCAAAAGCAAGGTGCTAAGCAACTCAGTGAGACCCTATATCTAAATAAAATACAAAATAGGGCTTGGAATGTGTCCCTGAGTTCAATCCCTGGTACCCCCCACCAAAAGAAGAAGAAGAAGAAGAAGAAGAAGAAGAAGAAGAAGGAGGAGGAGGAAGAGGAGAAGGAGAAGGAGAAGAAACAAAGATGATATGTGATGGTCAAAAGAGAATATTTTCAATAGAAATTTCAAACATGGAGAGTAATTGATGATTACGAAGTCCAGCTTATCATTCATATATAGGCCCATGACTTTCACTAGAGTGAGTTTGTATCCCAGGAATTGTTTGGCAATGTCAGAAGACATTTTAGGTTGTCAAGACTGGAGGGGGGAGGTGTGTTTTGATGTAAAGAGCAGCTGCTACTGGCATCTAGTGGATAGGGGCTGGGAATGCTACTAAATATCCTACAATGGATAGGACTGCCCTTCATAATGAAGAATTATCTGAACCATAATGTCAGTTGTGTCAATTTAGAAACCCTGACCCAGGACATGGGTGGCTGAGGTGAAGCAGAGGAAAAGCATAGAGCTGAGATTAAGAATCAAGATGCCTATAATTCCAGCCACTCAGGAGGCTAAGGCAAAGAGGATCACAAGTTCAAAGCCAGCCTCAGCAATTTAGTGAGGCTGTGAGCAACTTAGCAAGCCCCTGTCTCTAAATAAAATATAAAAAAGGGCTCGGGATGTGGCTCGGTGGTTAAGCAGCCATGGGCTCAATCTCCAATACAAAAAAAGAAAAGAAGAAGAAACTAAGATGGAAGATAGATTGTGCTCATCAGTTTTGATACTGCCAAGCATGAGGACAGGAAGAGTGGCCACAGGAATGGTGATGGTGAGGAAACAGCAAAGTGCTCAAGTTTTCATGAAAGAAGGGAGTCTGATGCCACATACTTCAGAGGAGCTGAAGATTTCAAAACAGGAAAAAAAAAAAGTAGCATTAAGTGCCCATAGGGAGAAACTCATTATCCTAAGATTCCTGGGATGTGGGAGAAAATGATTTTCATCTTGATCAAATTACAGGAGTGACCCAAGACTCAGATCAAGAAACTGAAGGGAGGGGCTGGGGATGTAGCTCAATGGTAGGACAGGTGCTTGGCATGCAGGAGGTCTGGAGTTTTATCATAAGGAAAGCCCAGAGAAGTAGGTATAGTTATTCCATTTCTTTATTATGGCAAAATATATGTAACATTAAAGTTGTCATTTGAAACTTTTTTTTCCCTTAGTACTGGGGATTGATCCCAGGGCACTTTACCACTGAGTTACATCCCCACACCCCACAACCCGCTTTTTTTTTTCTTTTGAGACAGGGTCTCATTATGTTGCGGAGGGCCCTGCCAAGTTGCTGAGGCTGGCCTTGAACTTGCAATCCTCCTGCCTAGCCTCCAGAGTTGCTGGGATTACAGACATGCGCCACTATGCCTGGAAACCATTTTTAAATTTGCAGTTCATTGGCATTAATTATATTTACAATGTACAGCTATCACCACTATCCATCTTTTCATAACCCCAAATAAAAACTCTGTGTTAAATAATAATTTCTCATTCCCCCTCTCCTCAACCCTAGGCAACTTCCACTTTCTATCTTTATAAATTTGCCTAGACATTTCACATAAGCAGAATCATGCAGTATGTACAATATTTATTGTTTTTAATATCTCTTATTTTACTCAGCACATTTTCAGAGTTTTTCTAGAATGTCATTTTAAGACTGAATAATATTTCATTGCATGTATATTCCTCATTTTTTTAATCCATTCATCTGTTGGTAGACCCTGGGTTATTCCCGTCTTTTGGCTATTGTGAACAGTGCTGCAATGCATGTTGGTATACAAGTATCTGTTTTGGTTTGTTTTTAATTCTTTTGTCTTATCCCCCTAATCTTTTTTTTTTTTTTTTTAATGATGAAACTAAGGTTTTAGAATAAGCAAAGTCGCCCAGAAAAGGAAGTAGAACAGCTGGGCCAGTTTTACCATAGATCCTCCCACAGTGCCTGAGAGGGTAGAGCCTGTGGATCACGTGCACAGATGCTTTACTGTATTGTTTATTCCTCGGCAAGTGTGTGTGCTTTCCTGATCATCCTTGTTTTTTCCTTCCTGGGAGGATGCTAGTTCTACGAGCGTTTCCAAGAAAATCCTGCCAGAAATAAGCCGAATGAACCAGTCCCTGGCAGAAAAGTGGCTAGCAGTGAAGAGCGGAAGTAGTGAATATGAAGTGGCTAAAAGGTGACTGTGTCTGATTAAGTATAAACCAATTTCGTCTATTTCTGAAGTGCCTGTCATTTTGTTCTAGATACAAGAAAAAGCATTTGGCTTTATCATGAGCAAATTTGCATTTGACCATGCTTCTCTTCCACCACCTCTTAGTTTATGAATAGTCATTGATGTATTCTGTCACTCATCTTTTCTTCAGTATAAATAAGAGATATATGGAGAACGTATACTATCCCAGCCACCTCTCTAGGTAAATAAGATACAGGAATGGATCGAAAAAGCTCACCAAGCCTCCAGGAAGTTGAACTGTTTTAGGATCTTCTTCATTTATTCTCTGGAGCTGGAGTTTGGGTCTTCAGAATGAGGGATTTTATTCAATGTAGATGACTGGAAGAAATTAACTATAAAGGGTTTTGGCAGTATTCAGCAATGATAGGTACAAAGTACTGTACCTAGAATTTGGGAGACTTAAGAGAATAGTTTCATTAATGATTCCATGACATCTGTTATTTATTCAGACATAGGAAGACAGGAGGCTTGCTTCACAGTGTGTTTTGACTTAACCCCTGTTATTAATTTTCCAGTGAAATTGGAATGATATTTTCATCTCCTGCTTGTCTGACTGCGAGCTTTTTAAAGCAAAGGTAATACTTCTATGAGACTTACCTTCACTTAAAATACTCTGAAGTATTTTAAATGAAATGTGTAGAGTCAGATTAATGTGTGAATATTACTATCAATGCAGAGTTCAACATAGAGAACTCCAGAGGTTGTTAGTTATAGAATCCTTCCATTTCAGCAAGGAATCCTCTACTAGATCACTGTAAGTCATAATTAACATTGTTCACTTTTCTCCACACTGCTTTCCTTTTTATCCAATTGGAGGGAATGGTGTTTTTTCGGGATCTTTGTGTCCACCACTGATCAGCTAAAATCTAACATTGCCTTGGTACTTAGAAACTGAGAAATCACTTCGCGCTTAGCACTGTGTGGGACTAATAAAGAAAATAGATCTTATTTTGTTTTTAACTCATTGCTATGGAGAAAAATCTGATTTCTCTCTTATTTGGTTTAATACTTGGTCTGATTCCAGTAGTTTCAACAATTCCTTTAATGCTTACTATTTTAACTTTCTAGGTCTGCCCCTTCCTTGGAGGGCTCCTGGGTGGCACATGGGTATGTGAGGGAGGAGCTGGAGGGATAGCAGGTGTAAAGGGGTCTTAGGCTGCCCTCTGCTGCCTTGGAAGGCTGTTTCCCTGCTGATCTGCAGCTGGTGTAACTCATTCTGGTTTTTCTTCACCTGGTCAGGTCCTGTCCCTTCCTTAACATGGTTTCAAGTTGGCTCACTGGTTCAGAAGACATGTTTGATCCCTTTCTGGAAACTAGGCAGTCCTGACTTAACCCCTGTGCTTTTCCCTTACACAACCCCAGGCAGTTCCATTGGGTTTTTGTTGTTATTGTCATTTTGGGTTTTTTGGTTTTGTTTTTGTTTTTTTAAATATTTTTTATTTGTAGATGGACACAATACCTTATTTTGTTTATCTAGGGGTTTTTTTGTGTGTGTTATTTATTTTATGTGATGCTGGGCACCAAACCTAGTGCGTCATGCATGCTGGGCAAGCACTCTACCAGTGAGCTACATCACAGGCCAGTTCCATTCCAGCTGCATTCTAAGTAATTTGAGGGACTAGAAAGTATTGGGTCCTAACGATGTCATCAGGGAACTAGAGAAGCCCAGTATCTTTCTAGAATCCAAAAAGCATTCCTATTCATCTGTACTTATCCTAGCCAAAGGCAGAAGAGAAATCTAGACACCGCATCTCTTCTCCCCCTGACTGTCCTAGACAAGGTGTCCTTTTTCTTCTAGCCTCAGGCTCATGCTTACTGGATGTAGGAGAATCTTTTCCTACTCTAAGAAGATTGAAAAAGTTAGGCACAGTGGCAAACTTTTTTTGGTACTAGGGATTGAACTCAGGGGCACCTTACATCCCCACATCCTCACATCCCCAGCCCTCTTTATTTTTTGAGATAGGGTCTTACTACATTGCTTAGGTCTTGCTAAATTGCTGAGCCTTCTTCCTCAGCCTTCCTGGTTGCTGGGATTACAAGCCTGCACCCAAGCAGGGTGCTTGTGTTTTGTTAATCAGCTTTTTGTTGATTTAGTTCCTAGATGAGCCAAAGAGCCCACATAAGAACTGGGGTGGGGTGAGATAGATGGGCTCTTTTCCTCCCCTGTACTATCTTTCTAAAGCAGAAAAATATCTGAGCCCACACAGAGAGTGACATAAGTGACATACTTTTAAAATGCCAAAGGCTGCAAAGAAGAAAGTATTTTTAAGCAGGAAAAATTTACAATTAGAACTTGCATGTATATTCTAGCCCATGTGTGTATTAAATATATATATTCCGCCCCCTCCCTCACCACAACAACTAGAGGTTGAACCCAGAGTTGCTGTACTACTGAGCTATAACCCCAGCCCTTTTTTATATTTATTTTGAGACAGGATCTCACTAAGTTACCCAGGCAGTCCTCAAACTTGTGATCCTACTTCAGCTTCCCAAGTAGCTGGGGTATAGGCATTTGCTACCATGCCTAGCTCCTAATATTACTATTGATCTGTTAATCTAGAAAGCATGTTTCTTGATGATGCATCATTTTAAAAATAATATTAGACTTTTTGAATTTTGGCTCTTCAAACATCACCAAAACAACCTGTTGATAAGACACCACACCTGGACAGTCTTTCGTGTGGGAGCAGAGGACTGTGGGCTTGATGAGAATTGGGAAAATATACAAAGATCCTGGATAGATTTGAAATAGCAAGGCAAGGATTTTGAGATAAAGGAGTCAAAGAATCCTACAGCCACACTATTTGTTGATGCTTTCCTTTGAATCGTTAATGGTCTTTCCAGATTTTTCTATGAATTGTTAATGAATCTTCCAGGAAGTTTTCTGCGATAAACAATCAAGCCATTTCCCTGTAAAGTCACTATTACTTCATCAGTGCACTGCTAAGGAAAACAGTGGAATTGCAAAGTTGTGTAAATAGAAATGGAAATAATGCGGGATACTGGGTAGTTCTAGTTTTCAGTATGCAAACTAAGTGTGGGGGGTAGCCAGTTTCAGATCGCACACTCAACATAAAACCTTGCTAGAGTTGGAGATGCAGTTTAGTGGTTGAGTGCTTTCGTCACTTAAGTCCCTGTGTTCAATCCCCAGCACTGGGGGTGGGGGGGAACATCTTACTAATAGTGTAGCTCAAACTTGATGATGTAACTAATAAAGAGGTAGTAATGTGTTACTGTTTTTTAACAGAAAAATATAAAGTTTGTAAAATTAATTGTGTCAAGTAAGTTGATTATTTTGAAAGGAGGCAAGATAAAAGTTTATATTTTATATGTCATAGGTTTGTCATAGATATATTTCTTGTCAATACAACAAATAATAACATATGAAGTTTAGAAATATCCTTTTCCATCTTTTTATTTTAACATTCTATTTAAAGAGGAACTGAAGAAAGGATTACCATTTATGTGGACTTACAAATGGCAAGAGATATCTTCAAGAAGATAACAAAAAAGGAATGGATTTCTTCCATGGTAATAACCAATACTTATTTAAGAAATAGAAAATAGGATTTCTTTACAGGAATAAATGTGATTGCAGCTTAGTTTTGTGGGGAGCTAAGTCAGAGACTTGTTTTCATTATGATGTTACTATTTCTAGACACTGCATAAGGTGCTACCATTTATTTTCTTATTCAATCATAAAATATACAATGAACACAGTATTTCTATTTTGGTGTGTATGAGAAAAGCAAATGTTTGAGAGTCTCCAACATGATGCATGAGAAGAGCATTGGTTTGGGAAGCAGGGTAACCTTGTCCTGGACTGGCACGTTCTCTACTTTGAGATGAACCTTAAATATATTTGACATGAATCTATGCTACTGATTCATCCCTGCTTCTCTTTTACTCACATTTTCTTTACCTATAAATTCATTTCATCTTTAAGGTAAACTACTTTATGATTCTAGGTTGAATAGGGAGACAACTTTTCCTCTGTCAATTTGGGTTCTGGTGTGTGTGGGACAAGGGGCTGCAAATTATCAATAGGCAGGTAATCAGGATGTCTTAGTACTTTGGGACAACTGCGAGAGAATACCATAGTACCATAGTCTGGGGCTGGGGGTGTGTAGCTCAGGTGTAGAGTGCTTCCCTAGCATGATGAGGGAGGTGAATATATAGAATTTTCCTGACAATGGTAGATTTTTGGTCATACAGATCTGGGTATGGAACCTTGATTTGTTACTAATTGAATGATTTTCTTCCTCTACTTTGAATTAACTGAGTCTCTCCCCCATCTGTAAAAATAAGGTTAAAAAATAAATAAAAGAGAAAGCTACCCTACACAGTCTAATAAGATTTACGTGAGATCACCTGACACATAGTGAGAACTTAATTAATGTTTAACAAATATAAAAATCATACATGGACTGGGGATGTGGCTCAGTTGTAGAGTGCTTGCTTGCCTGCATGCATGAGGCCCTGAATTTGATCTCCAGCACCACACACAAACACACACACACACACACAAATACAATTTATTCCCACTAATATACGTTATTATGTATGTTCTATCTTTACTGTTGTTGGTACTGGGAATGGATCCCATGGGTGTTCCACCATTAAGCTACATTCTCTGCCTTTTCTATTTGTTGAGACAAGGTTTCACTTAGTTGCCCCTGTGGGCCTCAAACTTGGGATCCTTCTGCCTCAGCCTCCTGAGTAACTAGGATTAGATGCATGGGCCACCACATCTGGCTATCTACCTTAAAAGCTAACCTCTGGGTACAATACATAATATAAAAAAATCAAAGCTATTTTTGCTCTGAAAATTTTATACTGATATATGAAGGGGGTAAAGGAAGGAAGAAATGGATTTTGAGTGTGTGTGCATATGTTGTGTAACAGCTTCACATTCCATATCAGTGTGATCTATATATACAATATTGCTTTTTTTTAAGACAGGGTCTCACTATGTACCTAGGTTGGTCTTGAAATGGTGGGCTCAAGTGATCCTCCCAAATCAGCCTCCCAGTAGCTGCAACTACAGGCACGCCTCTATATCCAGCTTATAATATTGCTTTTGGAGGGCTCTGTATTAGTTTTGAAGTCCCAATTCACTCAGTATGACCATGCATAGGTAGTTTCACGTTATTTCCTTCATGTTCCCTGATATAAAATGGGAAGATGACTCTCACAAGTACTGCCTCAGGGGCATTTGAAATGTAAGGAATAATGGAGTTTCATCAGTAGATTTCAGAAAGAGTAAATGGTTGTTCCAATGGAACTTGGTAGAATGAAACCCCTGGTCCCAGAGCTTATTGTCACAACACTGTATCTAATACCAGGGCCTTGTCTCTGATCCTATTTCAACCATAGATGACTACAAGTCTCCGGGATAATCTACTACGAGCTCTCCCATGCCATTCTCCACACCAGGAAGCTTTATCAGTTTTTCTCCTGCTTCCAGAATGCCCTGTGATGCAAGATTCTCAGAATCAGAGCCTGGTGGTTTCATTTGCAGAGGCTGTTTGTAAAATGAGTAACCAGTCTTTACAAGTCCTGAGTAAGTTTTATGTCACTTTTTGTATACACTCAATGGAGAGTCACTGTCTGAAAAGTTGTAACAAATTTTGGATAGAAGATTTCAAAATATACACATATTTGAGTATATGGTATGTGAATTATTGCAAAGATTAACCTAAAGCTATTATAACCATTACTCTTATCATTAAAAGCAAATGTAGTCCTTAGACTTGGACATGGCTTTGACATCAGAATTTGATATCTATAGTGTCTAATCAAGATAAATCCATGCATTAAAACTTTTCATTCATATTGTTTTGAAACATTAGATATTTTGACCAGAGGTGATTAAAAGCTTTGATATTATTGTTTATGTTATTCAATATCATGGAATGTCTTTTTACAATTTTAAGCTGATGTTGAAGGCCTCAAGCATAAAATGTACAAAGGTTGTGTACACTGAAATATAAGCCACCTAGTTCCCCTCCTAGAAGGTGATTAGTTTCTTATGTACACTTCAAAAGATATTCTATGCATATAAACATATAAAAAATTCTTTATTGTTACTATTTTTTAAATAAGGACTTAGCCCCCATTATACTTTAGTTATCGCTGTACTATCTCCCCAGAACTTTTACTTCTTGTTTTGAGACAGGGTCTCGCTAAACTGCCCAGGCTGGTCTCCAACTTGAAGTACTCTGCCTCAGCCTTCTGAATTACCAAAATTACAGGCATGTGCCTCCACACCCTGCTCTCTTCTTTTAAGAGAAGGAAACCATTCTTCTTTGGCAACTTACTTTTTCCTACTTATCAGTACATCATAGAGATTATTCCATTATGGGGCCTATAGAATTGCTTCATTCTATTGGCTGGCTGTATTAGTCAACTTTTCATCATAACACAATACCTAAGGCAGGCTACTTATGAAGAAAAGAGGTGTATTTATATTATACTTTTGAAGGTTCAAGAATGGGATCCTGGTATCAGCTGAGCTCTAATGAGAACACTCTTGGCTGTTCACCTTATGGCAGACGGCAATTTCAGGAGCACATATTAGAGCAAATGATCACATCTTGATACACAAAGTTTGGAAGGGACCATGCCTAGGCTTTCATACCAACCCTCTTGCAAGAATTACCTGGGGTTACATGAGAACTACCTTAACACCTTCCAAAGGTAACCCTCCCGCCCCCTGACCTCTCACTAGGCCCTATCTTTAAAAAATCCAACCACCTCAACATTGCCACAAATGGAACCCAAGCTTCCATCACATGGACCACTGGGGGACAAATCTCATCCAAACAGTAAGACTGACTGAAGAGTGTTCTTCTGGCAGATGTATTATGTATGGTTTTTTCTACTCTTTTGCAATTATAACAGTGCTAACATGCATTTCTTTTTAAATATGTAAACTTACACATTCAGCAAAATTTTATGGAAGTTAAATACAGGATTAAATTGTATATACATGTTTATTTTGAGAAATTTTTCAAATTTTTCAGATCCATCATGAAGAGGTCAGGGCCATGATGTCACTCACCTTTCAGTGGCCACTGTTTTCACTGTTGTTTATGTAAATTGCAACCTTGGGATTGATTAACAAGGCAGGCTTGACAAGATGATGTACCAATGCAAACTTCATCAACAAATAACAACCACATATTTTTTAGAGGGGTCAGCAAACTTGATCTTTGCCATTCTGAAAGAAAAATCTCTTAATTTAAATCTGAATTTTTATTAAGAATGAGACTATGCTAGTTTTCTTATAGCTCAGATCCATTTGTGTGTCATATACTGTGAACTAATGGTTATTCCCTCTTAGCCCCTTTTTTCTTAATTGCTTATTAATATTTTTCTTTTACCATAGAAGCCTTTCAGGTATTAAAGGACAATTAATTCTTTATTAACAAAATTAATTGAAAGTATTTTTTCCCCTTAAGGTATTTTTTTTCTTTTACTTTATGGTATTTTTGCTATGTAAATTATTTTTTAATTTTCATGTAGCCTGCTATAATAGTAACATTTTCTTTTTATAATTTCTGGGCTTGAGGATTTTCTAGCTTTGCAAAAATCCTACCTCAGTCTGAAATTTTTAAAAATTTTTATGCTCCTACTATAATTTTTATTTTTTTGGAAGTAGAGATTGAACCCAGGGGCACTTAACCACTGAGCCACCTCCCTGTACCTTTTTAAAATTTTTTATTTTGAGACAGGGTCACCTTCCTTAACTGAGGGCCTCATTCATTTGCTAAGGCTGAATTTGAATTTGTGATCCTCCTGCCTCAGCCTCCCGAGCTGCTAGGATTACAGGCATCACTACCATGCCTGGCTTATTTCTTTAAATATATTTTTATCTTAAGTATCACAAAATAATTGTACAAATTTATAGGATACAGTATGATATTTCTTTTTTTATTTTTATTTCTGGTAGTGGGGATTGAACCTAGGGGTACTTTACCACTGAGCTACATCCACAGTCCTTTTTATTTTTTCATTTTGAGGCAGGGTCTCACTAAGTTGCTGAGGCTGTCCTCAAACTTGTGATGTTCCTACCTCAGACTCCTGAGTTTCTCAGATTGTAGGCCTGTGCATCTGTGCCCAACACAGTTGCCATATCAGTGTAGTTAAACAATGTGTAATAAATGATCAGATCAGAGTAACTGATCACCCCAGACAGTTATCCCTTCTTTGTGTTAGGATCATTCCGTTTCTCTCTACTAGCTATTTTGAAACATTTTAAATTAATCTTTGTCAACTGTAGTTATCCTCTTGTGCTTTACAACATTAGAAGTTATTCCTCCTATCCAGCTGTACCTCTGTACCAGTTAACCATCCTTTCTCCATCACCCCTCCCCCCACACACCTCCTGGGCTCTGGTAACCACTGTTCTATTCATTATTTCTATGAGATCATCTTTTTAGTTTCCACATGTAAGTGGCAATGGTGTGTTTGTCTTTCTGTGCCTGATTTATTGCTTAATGTCCTCCAGCTCTATCCATGTTGCTGCAAATGGCAGAATTTCATTCTTTCCTAACTATAATTTTTATTATTTAATTTTTAATGTTTAATTAATTTTTAATGTTTAAATTTTTGATTGTTATGGAGTTTGTCTTGGTTCATTTTTTTTCCTAGATCAGTTTTCAATTGTCCCTATGCATTTATTAAATGATCTGTTTCATTCTCACTAATATGCAGTGCCACTTTTATCATAAACTAAAATCTTCCATGTATTTGAGTCCTTTTTTGGAATTTCTATTCTGATGTATTGATCTGCTATACATGCATCTGTGTAATACTGTTTTAATTACATAAGCTTGGTAATTTATTTTACTATTTGAGAATTTTCTGAGAATTGTCCTTGAAAGGTACCAAAATCCAGGTTTCACTCTCAGTAATATTAAGACATAGTTATTGGCTATCTTAAAAATCTCCATATGTGGTTCATAAAATCTAAAAACATAGATAATACTATTTTATTTTTTTATAGATTAAAAATGACCTCGAGGGCTGGGGATATGGCTCAGTGGTAGAGTGTGTGCTTAATATATGCAAGGTCCTGGGTTCAATCCCCAGCACCACCCCACAAAAAAATTGATATAAAAATGACCTTTGATAAACACTTGTGTTTATTCACTTATGTACTTTTTTAGATTTCAAGAATGACACTTTGAAAATCATGTAGTCAATGTAAATATGAACCACCAACAAATTTCTTCAAATCCTGAGTTTGAATTTCTAATTCTAAGGATACTTAATCAGAAGATCTTTTTCCCTCACATTTGTAGATATCCTTAGAAAAGATATTTTATGGGTTATGCCCTTGGTAATAGAAAATATTATCTATTAAAGAACCCTAGTAGAAACTGAGGGATTTGGAAATTGAGAGGAAGACCATATTTATCATGGTCGATTTTTACACCCCTCAGGAAAGTGTTGGGCATTGTCAGAAGCATCTTCTCTGAACACACTGGTCCAGATGCTTAAAACACCTATTGCCTCTCAACTGCGTTTTCCCATGATGTTGATGATAGTGGAGCAGAGTCATTTAAATTTTAAAGCTCTTCTGGGAACTATGAAAGAAGTACATAAGGTAAGGGTCATCTAAAGGAATGTATATACTAATAACAACCCCTTGGGTATATAAGAAGCTTTTGAAACTGGTTTGCCAGAAGAGTGAGGGAAAGTTTGGAGATGTAGACTAGCAGAGCCCTAGAATGTTGTAAATGGAACTTAACAGACAATTCTGCTGTTAGCCAAAAAGACCAGAACACTGATAGGAATGTAGATATTAAAGACTGTGCTCATGAATCTCATAATATAGTCTATTTCTAAGAGTCTCCATAGTCTTTAACAGTTCCAATATTGCTCAAAAGTCTAAATCCAAAAGATTCTTCTGAGACTCAAGGCAAATTCTTAGCTGTGAAATCTTGCAAAAATGAAAAAACAAGTTACATAATCTGTGTCATTCTCTATTGGTACTTATTTCCTATGTTAGATAGCTTTTGGTAACTGTGACAAAAATACCTGAGGGGTGAAAAAACATAAAGGAGGAAAGATTTATTTTGGCTCACTGTTTCAGAGGATTCAAGACATGATTGGCTGGCTCCATGGCTCTGGGCCTGGGGCGAGGTGGAACATCATGATGGAAGAGTAGAACAAAACTGCTCACCTCATGGCTGCCAGAAAGTAGAAAGGTTGGGGAAGAAAGGGCCAGGGACAAGATATACCCTTCCATGGCATGCCTACAATGACCTACTTCCTCCAACTAGACCCCACGTCCTACAGTTTCCACCACCTCCCAATATTCTATTCAATTATGAACCTATTGGTAGGACTAATCCATTGATGAGATCAAAGTCCTTATGACCTAATCACTTCCCAAAAGCCTCACCTCTAGACATTGTTGCATTGGGAACCAAGCCTTCAACACATGAGTCTTTCAGGGACATTTCATATCAAAACTATAATGGTGTACCAAATTAATATTCATTACTTAGTCAAGAAAATGCTAAATTTGCCAAATTCGTGGTACTTTTGTTCTAAAAACAACTTCTAGTAAACCTAAACCCAAAACCTAAATTAAATCTAAATTAGTTTTAGCAATCCCACTAACAACATGTTGTGTATACTTTCTCATTTTTTATTTATATATACTTTCTATTTTTTATTGGTGCATTTTACACTTACATAATGATGGGGTTCATTGTTACATATTTGTACATGTACACAATATGACAATATAATTTAACCAATATCATTCCCCAGTATTTCCCCTTTTTCTCTCTCTTTCCCCACCTCTGGCCCCAGACCCGTTCTGCTGGGTTACCCTCAGTTTTCATAAGATCCCCCCTCACCTTTCTTTTCCTTTTTCCTCTCTAGCTTCTACATATGAGAAAAAACATACAACTCTTGGCTTTCCAAGTTTGGCTTATTTTGCTTAATATAATGCTCTCAAGTTCCATCCATTTTCCTGCAAATGACATAATTTCATTCTTCTTTGTAGCTGAATACAACTCAAGTGTGTACATACACCATATTTTCTTTGTCCACTCATCCATTGACAGGCACCTAGGCTGGTTCCATAGTTTGGCTATTGTGAATTGTGTTGCTATCAACGTGGTATGCATGTTTTACTGTAGTAAGATGACTTTAATTCTCCATAAAGGGTAAATAGTGAGGAGACATACAGCTGGGTCATATGGTGGTTACACTCCTAGTCTTTTGAGGAACTTCCATATTGATTTCCTTAGCGGTTGTACTAATTTACAATCCCATCAATAGTGTAGAAGTGTTCCTTTTGCTTCATGTCTCCTCCAGCATTTATTATTGTTGTATTCTTGATGGCTGCCATTCTGACTGGAGTGAGATGAAATCTCAGTGTAGTTTTGACTTTTGTTTCCCTAATTACTAATACAATGTGTTATATTTTTGACAATACTTCTTCATGAAAATTGGAGAACTTATAGGTCAGAAAATGGAATTTTAAAGAACTTTACTTCATTGTTTACAAATGTATTCAGTATACATACATATCTGTATATCATAGAATAAGTAATTTATTAATAGAAAACGAAATTGCAGGTCACATGCAGTGAGAAAAACAAATCTAACAGTCAACTACCAGAAGATACTTTCCACATAAACGAGCTCTCTGATCTGTTGGACTTTCGCGAAGAGAGACGAAAAATGTTTGCTCAATATAATAGCCTGGTAAGCATAACATGTTCATTTATGAATATGTTCATACTTTAAAGGAGGACATCTTAGTAAGCTATGTAATATTGTTTTGATGAGTCAAGCTTTTAAAATTTCCTCAATACAAGGCTGAATTTACTAAATTAGATAATCATTAAAAAACTTACACATCTTTCAATAACAAATGTAATTTCTTAGAAATGTTTTTTGGAGCTGAGTATGGTGGTGCATGCCTGTAATCCCAGTGGCTTGGGAAGCTGAGTCAGGAGGATCACTAGTTCAAAGCCAGTCTCAGCAATGGCGAGGCACTAGGCAACTCAGTGAGACCCTGTCTCTAAATAAAATATAAAATAGGTCTGGGGAAATGGCTCAGTGGTTGAGTGCCCCTGAGTTCAATCCCTGGTACTAAAAAAAAAAAAAAAAAAGTGTTTTGGGGTAATTTGGATTCTTAAGAACAGATTCTAAAAGCATAGTGGGAAATAAGGTAATAAAGTGAAACAATGGATTGTTTTCTTTTAATTATTAAAACTCTTATGCCTTTGTTTTTAGGATCCTGCAGACACCCCCAGTCCTATTCCTTTCAGTGATTTTCCATTTATCTTTAATTTGCCGTGCAAAATTAAATTATTGAAAGCTGATTCAGAAATTAAAAGGATGGTATGTATGTTATATTAGGCTGGTTTTTTTTATCGTTGTTGTTGCTCTAACAAAATACCAGAGTCTATTTTATAAAGAAAATAAGCTTATTTACTCATAGTTCTGAAGATCTAAGAGCATAAAACTGGCTTCCTGGTAAGGCTGAGCCTCTCTGTGGGTGCGCGCGCACACAGACACACAGACACACTCACACACACTCACAACACACATACCTGCTGCATTACAACATGATAAAGCAGCAGAAAAGAAACTGGCCATGTACTGAAAAAGCCAGTTATGTCCGGTGGCCTATCTTTATAACAATCTGCTCTTATAAGAACTAACTCCTTCTGTGAGACCAGCATTAATTCCTTCTGAAGGGGTTGCCCCTGTGACAAAAATTATCTTCTACTAGGGCCGCTCTCTTAAAGATTCTACCAATCCCCCAAATCAACACACTTGAAGACCATGTGAATCTTTTGGGCACAAACAAATCACATCCAAAGCATAGCATATGGCCTACTTTTTTGTTTTGTAAAATTTCACACACATTAAATAGAGATAATGACGTAAGGAACCCCATCACCAAGATGCAGCAATTATCTACATTTTGCCAATTTTTCTTCTTTCAGTCACTTTTGTTGTTTTTGTATTTGTTACTATTTTTTGTTTGTTTGTTTTGGTTTTTTGATGAAATATTTTGAAGCAAATTCCAATTTCTTCTCACCTTATCATTCTTTGCTCCACTATTTCTGGTTGACTCTCTCGTTTATACTAAGGTTCATCAGTGGGTCACTTGGTTACCACATGATTCTTTCATTTTAATGTTCCCCATCACTCTTTTGAACTTTTATACAGATAGGAAATTATTTTATTTAACAATTTCATCCATTATTTTTTAATTTGGCATATTTCTAATCTTATTAATTCTACCAAAGTTATTAACTGGAATTCTATAAGGAATTTTTCTTCATCAGTAAGGGCTATTTGGTTACCCTTAAATTGTTAAAAAAAAAAAAAAATTCACCAGGTAAGGTGCTGTTTAGTCCTTTTCTTTTAACTGTTAAGTGTTGTCAGATTCTGTAGTTATACCAACTGATGTTCCTGCAGCAGCATATGAAATGCCACTTTCGTGTGTTGCCATCAGTGCTTTGAGATCTTTCTCAGTTTGATGAGTTAAATCACATTTCAGTTTAATTTTAGTGTGCATTTCTCATTATTTAATTCCCTAGTCCTCACTTTTTTAGATAAGATCTGTTGTTTTTCTATTGTGAGAAATACTGAAACTGTCTAGTAAGCTCTTCTTTTCCTCTCCAGGATCTCTCTTCCTTTGTCCAGTTTAGTTACTAATGTGTTCTTAGTGTCAGTTTTTGAATTGTTATACCCTTTTAGCTTCTTGGAGCTGGATTTATAAGCCCCATCTCATATTCTGTTTTCCCCTCACTCTCGCCCTCTGCTCCTTTCTTGTAGTTGAATCATTTCTGTGTAACATTTACCTAGTATTTTGTTTCTTTATGGCCACGAGGCTTAGCTCTGTTACGAATACGTAACACTCACCCCCAGACATTATGCTAAAGATTATCCTAACATTTTTTGATTACTGAAGTTCATTTTCTAAGTCATCCCTTAGGAGAGGTTCATATCCATTTATCTATGATGTTTAAACTTTTAAAGACAGGAATCCAAAGCCCTGCCTATTACTGACTTCTATTAATAATTCAAAGGAGGGACTGGAGTTGTGGCTCAGTGGTAGAGTACTTACCTAGTATGTGTGAGGCCCTGGGTTTGATCCTCAGCACCACATATGAATAAACAAATAAAGTGAAAAATCCATTGGCAACTAAAAAATATTTAAAAAAAATAATTCAAAGGAGCTGGGTGCAATTGCACGTCTATAATCCCAATGCCTTGGGAAGCTAAGGCAGGAGAATCACAAGATCAAAGCCAGTGTCAGCAACTTAGCAAGGCCCTAAGCAACTTAGGGAGACCCTAACTCAAAATAAAATATACAAAGGGTTGGGGATGTACTCAGCAGTTAAGCACCTCTGGGTTCAACCCCTAGGACCAAATAATAATAACAATTGAAAGGATATGAACCATCTGGGTGAAACAGAGAAATGTGGGATACCATGTCACAAAAGAAGTCATTTTAGTTATAAAGCATTTCCTTTTTATAATATATCAATTACACACTAGCTTACATGACTTTCCAATATGCCATGGCATGCCCCATTAGTTGCTAAATTCCAGATCTATTTACAGTAAGCAACCTAGACAGATAAATCCTGCTAATATCTTTCTGTAAATAAGGACACTCTCTCTAGTTACTGTTATTAGTATCTGTCATCATCATTTTTATATGTAAGTTTGACTACATCATTTCTGGTTTTATTTTTTTAAATATTTTTTTAGTTGTAGATGGACACTATACATATATATATATATATATATATATATATATATATTTGTTGATGAACCTTTATTTTATTCATTTATTTATATGCAGTGCTGAGAATCAAACCCTGTGCTTCATACGTGCTAGGCATGCGCTCTACCACTGAGCCACAACAACCCCAGCCCCTTTTTTTTCCCCTTTATTTTTATGTGGTGCTGAGGATTGAATCCAGTGCCTCATACGTGCTAGGCAAGCACTCTACCACTGAGCCACAACTCCAGCCCTGTTTTTATTTTCCTAACATCCATGGTAAAGGGAAAGAAAGGATTAGGTCTTTCCTTCTCAAACCCCAACTTCTGTGCAAGTCCTTCCATCTGTAGTATTTTCTCTCACAGCTGTGATCCTCTCTGTCTAATTTGTCTACTCTGTTAGTGAATAGTTGAAGGAACACTGCATATGATGAAAGATTAGGAAAGAAAACTGCATGTCATAGTTCTCATAGGTGAAATTGGAAAGTACTCTTCACAATCCAGTTCTCCAAAGAAGAAATAATGTACAGAGTCAACCTACAAGCTCCAATTTGGATTACCAATTCAAATATGTAAACATAGAAAGGGAAAATCAATATATAAAGAACAGAATAGAGAAGCTGGAAAATTAGATGCAAGTTTCCAATCTAGCTCTTCAATAGGTAAGAGAAGGTACAGGTCCCTGCTATAGTAAGTGGAGGATGTCACTGGCCACTGTCACTCAGAGCCATAGAACATGCTGCTCAGCACTGAGTATTGCGGAAGCACTCAGAGCTGCAGATGCATGGACATAGGAGGTGACTGACCACTAGAAAGGACCAGAGCTCGGACTATTTCCCATCAAACCTGGAGCTTCTTTTCATAAAACATCTCAAGGAAAAAAACAGAAGAACTTAGTGGAATCATATATAGATTTCTCAGTTTAAAGTGGTGGCAGAGATCAGGGACAGGACTTTCTGAAGTCCAGAGCCACATGTACCCTTCTCTGAGGTGTTCATAGAGAGTTGAGTGAGCAAACACAGCTTCCTAGAGACCTGGAGTAGGATAGCTATTATCCAGTGGACTTACTGTCATCATGTAGGACAGGTACCCCCATGTTGGTTTGAGTACTAAATATTCCTTTAGAACATTTACAAGCCCTAGAATGTTGTTGGAGGTCAAAACAAGGATAACAAATCCATCACTAAATTTCTTTTTGGCTGGGAAAAGGGTGGTACCAGGGATTTAACCCAGAAGCACTTAACCACTTAGCTTCATCCCCAGCCAGTTTCATATTTTATCCTGAGATAGGGCCTCACTAAGTTGCTTAGGGCTTCTCTAAGTTGCTGAGGCTGACTTTGAACTCGCAATCCTCCTTCCTCAGTCTACTGAGCTGCTAGGATTACAAGTATGTACCACCGCATCCAGATAGATCACTGTTATTTGAAGAAGAGTGGATATACTCTTAGCAAGTCTTTCCACTCATCCTTTTCCCCATAGCTAACATTATCCCTGAGCTCCTAAATTATCCTTATGTTCCTGAGATTTATAGTGCTAACACTGTGTTTCTTAAGACTGATGACAGATGAATGTCTTAGAATGTTAAATATCAGTATTGCCTTTAAGGGTCCTGTTTACTGCAATAAGTGATCTGAGATGCTCTTAATTACTTAGAGATTCATCTGTGGGGATACTTTCTTGTACATGATTCTTAGATGCCATCATTTTTTCTGATCCCATGATCACTTTATCTTCCATAATGTAGATACAGTATCCTTTTCCTTAAGTGATTACTGTGTGAGTTCATACAGCAATGGCAGGCAAGACTAAGTGCCTGCTGCAAAAAATATGTTTTGTGAGAAGGTATTAGACCTCCCTGGGACTCCTGGAGGTCAAAAGAAAAAGCCAACTAAAATGTTTTTCCCCCACTAGGAGTATTGGATGCAAACAATTCCGCCCGGAAAGAATAGCTTGTTTACACTTAGAGTAAGACGGACTCACCTGGTTGAAGATGCCCTGCATCAGTTATGTCAAGCTGAAGTCCCTGACCTTCGGAAATTATTAGTGGTATAGTAAAAAATCTCATTGACTGTTTTTACTGCTGTGGAAGGGAACATTCATATGCTGTAACAAGAGCCCTTTTACAAGTCTGCATTGACAACTATGGTTATCAGTATTATGGTTTCAGAATTCCTCTCTTACTCTTTGAAGAATGGCAGTGGGACATTTAATTGTACACTGGGTGTGAGTTAACTCTTGTGTTACTAAGGTGGCTATATAATGGTGCATCCCAATGCTTAATGGCTTCAGATAACAATAATTTATTTCTGGCTGATTTAGGCTGAACTCATCTAGGTGGCTTTGCAGATTTTAGTTGTTAGTGGCTTATCTGTTTGTGTGTGTGTGTTTTCTATAATGCTAAGGATTGAACCTAGGGCCTCATGTACGCTAGGCAAGTGCTCTATGCTGAGCTAATCCACAGCCCTGCCGATTTTGTCTATTTGTTTATATGCTAGGCCTGCGTGTGGCAGTTTGGCTCTGCTTAGAATGTCCTTTCCTTACATAAGAGCTCCCAGGCAAAGAGAGAAGAACCGAACAAAAATCCAAAGAATGAAGCTTAACGATGTTTACATTAAGAAGATATAGGACGGGCATGGTGCCTCATGGGAGGCTGAGACAGGAGGATTACCAGTTCGAAGCCAGCTTCAGCAATGGCCAGGTGCTAAGCAACTCAGTGAGACCCTCCCTGTTTCTAAATAAAATACAAAATAGGACTGGGGATGTGAGTCAGTGGTTGAGTGCCCCTGAGTTCAATTCCTGGTACCAAAAAAAAGAAAGAAAAAAAGATACGGGCTGGGCGTTGTAGCACACACCTATAATCTCAATGATTCAGACAACTGAGACTGGAGGATCACAAGTTAGAGGCCAGCCTCAGCAATTTAGTGAGGTCCTAAACAACTGAGCAAGACACTGTCTCAAAATAAAAAATAAAAGGGGTTGGGATGTGGCTCAGTGGTAAAGCGCTTCTGGGTTCAGTCCCCAATACCAAAAAAGAAAGAAAGAAAGAAAACTAGTTAACAATAATTGCTGGTGAAGATGTCAGGAGAAAAGTATACTTAATACATTGTTGGTGGGACTAAAAATTAGTGTAAGTACTTTGGAAAGCAGTATGGAAATTCCTCAAAAGACTAGGAATGGAATCACCATATGACCCAAGTGTCCCACTCTGGTATTTATTCAAAAAATTTAAAATCAGCATATCATAGTGATACATGCATACCAATATTTATGGTAGCATAATCCACAATAGCCAAGTTAGGTACAAGCCTAGGTGTCCGTCAACACAAAAATGGATAAAGAAAATGTGGTATACATACTCAATGAAGTTTTACTCAGCCATAAAGAAGAATGAAGTTATGTCATTTGGAGGTACATGGAATGAAGGAATTGGAGAACATCATGCTAGGAAAATTAGTGGACAAATGTCTTCTCTCCTATGTGGGGGGAAAAAAAGGAATAAAAGAATGGGGAGATCTCACAAAGGAAGACCAATAGAGTAGAGAAAGGGGATCAAGAGAGGGAAGAGGGAAGCTTTTGAGGAAGTACTGGGGAATAAAAACTACCAAATTATACTATGTCCATGTACATATATACCACAATGAATCCCAGATAGATAGATAGATATAATTATAACACTAATTAAAATAACAATAATAATATAAGGGAGATTGGTAGAATAGAGCAAACAGATCGAGGGCGGGAGGGACAAGGAAGGTAATGGGAATGATCAAATTGTGTGCATGTATGAATAGGGCATAATGAATCCCAGTATTATGCATAATTATAATGCACCACCAACAACAACAAAATATTTGAGCTGGGGGTGTAGCTCAGTGGTAGAAAGCTTGCCTAGCATATAAAGTCCTGTATTCAATCCCCAGCCACACAACGAGAGAGAGAGAAAAGGAAATTAGCCAGAAAAGAAGTAGAAAAGGAATAGTTAGGTAGGGGGGAAACCACATGAGGACTCAGCCACAAAACCCAAATCCAAAAGTAGAGACAGTTTTTTTAAAAAGGGGACTATAAATATTGATTCCTCACATGAAGTTCTGTGGTCAACAGGGTCTCACCATCCCTGCAAAGGTCTCGTGCCCAGACTGACTGGAAGGGCTGTTTAGTGGAAGCTCTGATGAAGATAGAGGAGAAATCGAATAGCTGTCAACCTCAGCCAAGGTTGTGAAAGCTAAGGGATTAGATGAAGACAGATAAGAAGAATAATTAGGGAAGTTAATGGCCCAGAGGTTTGAAGCAAATCAAAATTTTGGTTCAAGGTACTAGATAATTTGGTTCAAGGTACTAGATAATAATTGGGAAACATTACACCTTGCTGGAGTCCCCCTTCTCTTAGTGCGTGTGGCAGTCTAAAGGATCCATGCACTCACTACAGCCACCTGGAAATAGATGGCTTGTGGCCTCCCTCAGCAGCCAACTGAGGGAAATTAGACTGCGAAGAAGGAGGTAAGGACTGTGTGACTGTGGTAACTCCAGTGACTGTAGCAATAGTCATCAACAGTTGAACACTTTTCCGTAAAGGTCAAAGCATTGTATCTTAAACCAGCGCCTGGGAATTTCTTCTTTTTCCTTAGGTTGAGTTTATTAAAGAAATTCGTCCTGAGAGTGGAGGGGTCCGTTCAGAGTTCTTCCACTGTATGTTTGAAGAGATGACCAAGCCAAACTATGGCATGTTCATGTATCCTGAAAAAGATTCCTACATGTGGTTTCCTGTCAATGTAAGTGATTTATTTTCTCACAGTTTTCAGAACAGAAAAAGTATGCCATATACTGCAATATGAAACTATAGAAAATAATGTAAAATGAGCTCATGAAGAGTTGCAACTCCTGCATTAAGTAGTACTCATATGGTGCACAGAGCAGCAGCTATAGCTCACCTGAGAGTGTGTAGAAAAGCAGAATATTAAAAAAAAGAAAGAAAGAAAGAAAAGAAAACCAGAATCTCTGGCCTCACCCCAGACCTACAGAATTGGACATATATTAATTAAGATCCCCCAGTGATTCAAACATGCATACATGCTCACACCCCCCTCCCCCCCCCCCGTTTTCAGGGAGTGAACCCCAGTTAGTAGGAGTAAACTTGACCGCTGAACCACATCCCTGGCCTTTAAAAAAAAAAATAGGGTCTTGCTAAATTGCTTAGGGCCTCATTAAATTGCTGAGTCTGGCTTTGAACTTGGATTCTCCTGCCCCAGCCTCCCAAGCCTCTGGGATTATAGGCATGCATGACTGCACCTGGCTAAATATTTAAACAGCATTAATAAAGTATAATTAAGATATAATAAGCTGTACATATTTAAAATGTCCAATTTGATAAGCTTTGACATATTTATATACCCATGGCATTCTCGCCATAATCCAAAGTTTCTTCTTATCCTTGTCTCACCTTCTCTCCTACTCCTCTCCCCCAGTGCCTAGGCAACCACTGATCTGCTTTCTGTCACTACAGAGTGGTTAAATTTCCTAGAATTATAAATGAGTCCATAGTGTAGTCTTTACTGCCTCTTTTTCATTATTAGTATTTATTTATTTATTATTTATTTATTTTTGGTACAGGGGATTGAACCCAGGGGCACTTACCCACTGAACCACATCCCCAGCTCTTTTTATCTTGAGACAGGGTATTGCTAAATTACTTAGGGCCTCTCTAAATTGCTAAGACTGGCTCTGAACTCACGATCCTCCTGCCTCAGCCTTCCAAGCCTCTGGGCTTACAGGTGTGTCCCACTGCACCTGGCTTCATTATTATTATTGTTGAGATTCATCCATGTTTTGGCATGCATCCTTTGTTCACTCTTTTTCATTCTAGAGTATTAGTCCATTATATGGATATACTATGGTCTATATACCTAGTCTCTGATGGACAGATGTTTAGGATATATCCTGAATTTTGAGTAGTAGTAATTTTGAGTGTTTTAAATTAGGAGAGAAGTTGCTGTTAGAGTCCTAGAAATAACTCTTAATCCTGAAAAAAAAAAATATATATATATATATATATATTTGGAACTGGGAATTGAACCTAACCACTGAGTCACATCCTCATTCATTTTTATTTTGAGATGGGGTCTTGCTAAGTTGCTTAGGGCCTCGATGAATTGCTGAAGCTAGCTTTGAAGTAAAAATCCTCATGCCCCAGCCTTCCAAGTTGCTGGTATTACAGGTGTGTAGTACCATGCCTGGCTAAAAGTGATTGATTTCTGTAATGGTTCTAAAAGATCTTTGAAGTATAAAAATTTTATTTTTTTTTAAGTAATAAAAAAAAGTCTTGAGCTAGGATGTAGCTCAGTGGTAGAGTGCTTGCCTAGTATAAAGCCCTGGGTTCAATTCCCAGCACCCCACACAAACAAACAAAAAATCATTTCTCTGTTAGTAACATAGACCAAATAGTTCTAATCACATATTGACTCTATTTATTGGTCCCCTTTCTCATATACTTTCAAACTGTTCCCCCAAATGACATGATGGAGGAAAGGCTAGGGAAGGGGCTGAGGTTGTGGCTCAGTGGTAGAGCACTTGCCTAGCATGGGTGAGATGCTAGGTTTGATTCTCAGCAGTGAATATAAATAAACAAAATCATCAACAACTTAAAAAAAAAAAAAGAAAGGACAGGGAAGATGAAGAGAAGGAGGAAGGCATGTGAAAAAATACTGAAAAGGGTTTCATACTTTTTTTGAGTATTAATGAACCTCTAAAAGATAGGAACAGTTAAGGTGTGGCCATGGTGGGACTTTTTATCAGTCTATCAGCAAGCATTTATTGAATGTCTCTTGATGTTTCCACATAAGAATTAGTACATAAGATAATCCTTTTGCTCCTGAAACATATATACGATGCAGTGATCAGACACCACACATATTACCAACTGGTTCTAAATTACAGATTGCTGAATTGAAGGGTTTCAGTTATTCAGCTGCAGTGCCAAAGAGAACTTCAGTCATGGGATGTGCATCTGACAACCTGATGCTGACTGGAAATGGAGATGAAGTACATCCTTCTTCCTCAGTGTCGATTTTTCTACAGGGATAGGAAAGAGGGAACTAAGAAATTTTCTTTACTAAAGTCATTATCCCTTTGTATAATTGATCATTTAAAATAACTGGGGTTTTGTTTTTTGTTTGTTTATTGTACTTCCTTTTCCAGCCCACAATTGAGAAGAAGAAATATTTCCTCTTTGGGATGCTATGTGGACTCTCCCTGTACAATTTAAATGTTGCCAATCTTTCTTTCCCACTGGCTCTGTATAAGAAACTTCTCTACAAAAAACCATCATTGGAAGATTTAAAAGAACTCAGTCCTCTTTTGGGGAAGTAAGTAAATATATTACGACTTTATCTAGTAAGTCTCAATGGTTTAAAAGCATAAATAATATTATACAGATAAATACATAGACAAGGTCTTTCATTTCAATATTGTATATCCTTCAGATGAATTTGAATTTTAGCATTACTTAAAATTGAGTAAACCTAGCTGTTCATGGTGATGCACGTCTATAATCCCAGCAACTTGGGAGTCAGAGGCAGGAGGAGTGCAAATTCAAAGTCAGCATTTGCAACTTAGGAAGGCCTTAAGCAACTTACTGAGAGCCTGTCTTAAAATAAAAAATAAAAAGGGCTGGGGATGTGGCTCAGTGGCTAAGCACTCCTGGGTTCAATCATCAATGCCAATGAGTAAATAAATACATAAGTACATAAGAATAAATATAAAAAAGACTGAGGATGTGGCTTAGTGGTTACAGGCTGGGATTATAGGCATGCACCACCATGCCCAGCTCAGGCACTGTTAGTGGGAGAATAATTTGGCTAGATTTATGCTAATAAGGTTTGTCAACCTTGGCAGTATTGACATTTTGGACTATTTAAATTTTTTTCTTTTTTTCTTCAGTGCTTCAGATTAAACAGCAGGGCCTCCTGCATGCTAGAGAAGCAGTCTACCACTGGGCTATACTACTGGCCCCCTGGATGTTTAATTATTTGTTGTGTGAGGCTGTCCTAGGCACTGTGGGATGCTTAGAAGCATCTGGGATTGCTACCCACTTTGCCAGCATCAGCCCTCCCATTCATTGAGACAACCAAAGATGTCTCCAGACTTTGCCAGATGCCCCCTGAGAGGCAGATCGTCCCTGGTTGAGAATCACTGGTCTAGAGGAAGGGGTTCCTTTTTGTACTTTTCGTAATACACTGCAAATGTCTATAGGATAGCCATGGTCCAAAAATCAAATAGAAAGAGGTTCCTCTAGAAAGAGGAGTGGGAAGGTGGAGGAGAAGAAATTTACACTGCATTTGGTACATCCTATATTGTTCACAGTTTTTCCCACCAAATATTTATTACTTTTGAAATTTCATGAAATGAACAAATATAATTTTTTAAATTGCATTTTTCACTAGGAATTTGCAATGTCTTCTAAATGCTGAAGCTGCTGATATGGAAGAACTTTTCATATATTTTTCTGTGAGTACTAATGATAGCTAGATCACTGTTTAGCTCTAATCTATTAGGGTTTATTATTGTTGTTTTGATTTCACTTTTTTGATGATGGTGCTGGGGATTAAACCTAGGACCTTGTGCATGCTAAGAAAGTTCGCTACCCTGAGTTATACTACCAGCCCTAATCTGTGATTTTTTTTTACATATTGTTTTTAAATATTCATTTTTTAATTATAGTTGAACACAGTACTTTATTTATTTTTATGTGGTGCTGAGGATCGAACCCAGGGCCGCACACGTGCTAGGTGAGCGCTCTACCACTGAGCCACAATCCTAGCTCCTAATCTGTGATTTTTAAAAATAATTTTTATAGTGTCTTAAATACATTATCCTTTGTTTGTTTGTTTGTTTGTTTTTGAGATGGGGGTCTTACTGTGTTGCCCAGTCTAGTATCCAAGCAGGTGGACCCAAGTGAATCTCTCACCTTAGCCTCCTGAATTGCCGGCATTATAGGAGCACACCCTTGGGCTGGGCTTGGGATCCAAACTACTTTTTTTTTTTTTTTTTTAAATACACACCAAGCATTGAACTCAAGGGTGCTTAACCACTGAACCACATTCCCAGCCCTTTTTTATTTTTTATTTTGAGACAGGGTCTCACTAAGTTGCCTAGGGCCTCACTAAATTACTGAGGCTGGTCTTGAACTTGGTGACTCTCCTCCATCAGCCTCCCAAGTCACTGAGATTACCGGTGTGCACCACCATGCCTGGCAGATCCATACTTTTTTTTTTTTTCAAGTTATAGATGGACATAATAACTTTATTTTATTTATTTATTTATTTAATATCTTTTTGTGGTGCAGAGGATTGAAGCCAATGCCTCACACATGCTAGGCAAGCACTATACCACTGAGCCACAACCACAACCTGGATCCATACTTTTTGAAAGATATTTCACTAGTGTACTACAAAGCTTTTGCCCACTTGCTCCTTGTTTGATACCTTATATATATAGTTCACCAAAAATACAGCAGTTACTCAATATAAACAATGAAAACAGATAAATAATAATTCACTCTTGAAATCTATATACAACATGCATTAGGGTAAGTTTTAAAAATTGTTTATGTGTATTTAAAAGGCTGAACTACATGACAAAATCATGTAAATTTTATAGGGAAAAATGTCTGGAAATAGTGGTATTGTGGGGTGGTTGATTATTCAGACTTATAGTCATGTTTAGTATGGAAAACATTGTGGTTACAGATACACTGGGATCAAACTGATGTTGATTTAATTCCAAATGGAATCTCTGTACCTGTGGACCAAAGCAATAAGTAAGTTTTACCACCTAGACTCTCTACTTTGAATATTCATAAAATGTTTGTATCATTTACCAGCATACCACTGGTTCCAGGGAGGGAAGAGAGAAGTTGATTTAGGTATCCTAGTTCCCAAAGGTTGCTTAAAGGGTTGGAGATAATCATGTCTCTGGTGAAAATGCCTCCTGTAGTGACCCTCCTATGTTAGTCCATTTTCCATTACTGTAATGAAACACCTGAAGCTGGATAACTTTATAAAGAAAAGAAGTGGGCTGGCAATATAACTCAGTGGTAGAGTGCTTGCTTAGCATGCACAAAGCCCTGGGTTCAATCCTCGATACCACAAAGTAAATTTAAAAAAAAATAGGTTGATTAGTTCATGAGTCTGGAGATTCAGGGTCCTGTATCTGGTGATGGCCTTCTTGACAACAGAGTTCTGAGGCTGCACAGGACATACCACGACAAAAGTCGGGGAGTGCACATGCATGTTTCTTCTGGTTTCTCTTCTAAAGAGGCCACCAGTATTCTGTCATGAGGGCTCCACTGGGATGACCTGAAGTAATCCTGATTGTCTCCCAAAGGTCCTGTGTGTAAACGCAGTCAGATTAAGTTTCCACCCCCATGTATGCCTCACAATGGAGATTTTAATATATGAAGCTTTGGGGGACACTCAGACCCTATCTAAACCATACCACATACCTTTAGAAAATTCATCATGTAGTGGAAATTGCATCTGGGAGTGCAAGAAATAATTCTGTAAAGGGACACGTGTGGGAAGAGGAAAGAAGAGAGAGGGAGAGAAACAGAAGAAGCATCCCTGAGAACATCACGTTCATATTGAAATATGATGATTGACAGCAGCTATCAGGTAAAGAAACAGGACGTGCTGGAGAGGAAATTTACATTGTAGAGCTACCTACTAATGAGAGACAGCCAAGCAGGTCAATTGAAGGTCAGTATGGCCAGAGATGAAAATAGAAGGGCAAAGAGGCTGCTGAGTCAGGCAAGGGTCAGGTCATAGAGGGGTTTTTGACCTTAGCTAGGGAGGTTTGCAGTTTATCCCTAAGTAAAATGTGAAGCCTTTGAAAGATTTTTAGCAGAAGAATGACTTAAGATGATTCAACTTTCATTTTTTTTTAACTTTACAATGGTCTGAAAGCGATATGCATTCTATAGAATCTGTACTTCAAATCTTGAATTTGGATCTTTCCTTGGGCTAGCAACAAGTGGTACAAGACTCCTTCATGAGGCTGGGCAGAGGCAGCAAATCCTAGCTGCTCTACACGGTCATGAGGGGAAACAACTAGTACTCTATGGTGAACTGTGTGTTTCAGCTCTGATGATCAGTACCCTAGGGGGTATTAAATGCGCATTTGATTTATGATGTTTTCAATTTACATACAATAGGCTTATTGGGATGCCCCCCTATTATAAATCAAGCCAAGGAGCATCTGTATTCAGATTTGTGTTATTAAACAATTCTCCTGACTGAATGAAGCACTGTGTAGATCGAATTTATGTTCTTTCTCAATAGAAACGGTTTATATATATATATATATATATATATTTTTTTTTTTTTTTCCCTAGTCATTGGGCCATTGGCCATTTTTTGTTTTTTCTCCCCTTCTCTTAAGGCAGGACTATGTTTCTAGGTGTGTTGATTACATTTTCAACATCTCTGTAAAGGCAGTTTATGAGGAATTTCATAGAGGATTTTACAAAGTCTGTAACTGGGAGATAATTAGACATTTCCAGCCTGAGGAACTAATGACAGCGATAATTGGAGATACTAATTATGACTGGGAACAATTTGAAAAGGTAGGTGATATCTAAAGTATACCCAGTTTTCCAAACAAGTTGTATATATTCCATTCCCCCAAAAAACATTTTTTCCCTTTCTCTCAAGAATTCCCAGTATTATGACGGGTACTACAGATCACATCCAACTATACAGATGTTTTGGAAAGCTTTCCACAAGTTAACTTTGGATGAAAAGAAAAAATTCCTCCGTAAGTACTGCAATATCAGAGAGGCCTACAATTTTATATCTTTTAAGACAATTATCTTGTTTGCAATGAAGTCAAGTTCTTAATGGTAGGTCATGTGTGTTAATGGCAGAGTAAGGAGTAGGACCAGGTTCCCTGCCTTCTAGAACAGCACTCTTTTCCTTACACAATCCTGTTTCCCATTTTAAAAAATAAAAGAAGCCGGGCACGATGGCATATGCCTGTAATCCCAGCAGCTTGGGAGGCTGAGGCAGGAGGATTGCAAGTTCAAAGCCAACCTCAGCAATTTAGCAAGGACCTAAGCAACTTAGCAAGATCCTGTCTCAAAATATAAAAAGGATTAGGGATGTGGCTCAGTGGTTAAGCACCCCTAGGCTCAATCCCTGGTACAAAAAAATAAATAAATAAGAGTAACAGACATATTGCTATTTTACAAAGTCTTCCACACTAACTAATCCCATTTTTAGACTGTGACCTCCTTCCTTATTCCAGATGGTTTTGTTGTTGTTTTGTTTTTTACTTTGTTTTGATATAGAGGCTCACTAAATTGCTTAGACCTTGCTAAATTGCTGAGGCTGGCTCTAAACTTGTGATTCTCCTGCTTCAGCCTCCCAAACTGCTGAGATTATAGGTATGTGCCAACAGGCCCACCTCAATTTTTGATACACACTTTGTTATTTTTGTTGCCACTGAATATATTGTTGCGAATAATTGTGAGTTCTTCACTAACAAGTCCAAACTACCTTTTTAATCCTCACTTACAGGGAAACTTGCTTTATCCCAGCGCTTCAACTGTCTGTATTTTCAATGAGTTCACTTATATCATCCCCCCTTGGCTTTTCCCTCTACCTATTGTATTGGCCTACAATAAAGCAACCTAGTCAAGAACAAAGAAAATTACTTTTATTTGGGGCTAATTAGGATTGAAATTTGGGAGAACACAAATTCAAACAACAGGTATGCACCAAGGTTTTACAGATGGTAGCTGTATTTATACCTTTAAATTGCAAGTGGGTTGGGAATTAGGGCCCTTGTTAGTCAGGAATTATGATTAGTGCTGGCCAAAGTTAAGTCATCTTAAAAGAAAGGGATTGGGTGTAGTTTCAGTCTCTGGGTAGTTTGGGGGAAGGGGTCCACTGTACAGAAGGTCAACAAAGGTTAACAGTGTTTCAAAGGCCAGCTCCAAGGATGGGCATGTCTGCAGACCAGTTCAAAGGTTCAGCTATGCACTTGTCTGAGATCTGGTTAACCTCGTGATTTCATTTTTGGTGCTCTGAGCCAATGCTACTCCATTTTGTTTTTCCTTCACACTTGAAAGCTCATCCAGCTCCTACTAGAGAACTAGCCAGTGTGACCTCTCTGAGGTCTCCCTGACCAGGCCAACATGCCATCTCTCCCTGCCCTGAGTCTCAGTTCCTCCAGTTGACTCTTAAACTTGTATTTCCTAGTCGAGCTAAATTAAACTTCTTTATATCTTGCTATTATATTTTCATGTATGTAATTTCCTGGCAATTAGATCATGAACTCATGGAGGGCAAAAACCAAATGTCCATGATTTTTCTAGCTCTTTCTACATGTGAACACTCAACATTTAGTAAATGTAATCATTAATTTTCATAAGTTTTGCTCTTTTCTATGAAGTACCTTAACCAAATTGCATTCCTTTCTAGTGTTTCTTACAGGATGTGATAGGCTGCAAGTAATAGGCATACAGGATGTAGGGATAAGATTTCGCTGTCCCACAACTTTCAGTGAAAACGACTGTCCAAGATCATTGACATGTCATAGTATTCTAGACCTGCCTAAATATTCTACAATGGAAAGAATGGAAGAAGCACTTCAAGTAGCCATCAACAAAAGCAGAGGCTTTGTGTCACCCATGGTCACATTGTAATGATCACCTTTCAGAGTCTCATGAAGGCCTCAGGCACTCAAGCCTCTCAGTATTATCAACAATAGTATTTTCTGCTGGGCAAGGCATAGGCCTGTAATCCTGGTGGCTCCAGAGGCTGAGTCAGGAGGAGTGCAAGTTCAAAGCCAGGATCAGCAACTGGGTGAGGCCTAAAGAAATTTAGTTAGACCCCGTCTCTAAATAAAATATAAAAATGGGCTGGGGAGGTAGCTTAGTGGTTAAGTGCCCCTGGGTTCAGTCCCCAGTACCAAAAAAAAAAAAAAAAAAAAGAGAGAGAATAGTATTTTTAGTTTAACAAAATTATGTACAACAACATCTCCTGTATCCCTAACTTTGCTATTAGAATGTTTGCTTTTACTGAATTATTTCCTGAACAATTTAAAAATAAACTGAATATGAATAATATTGATATTTTTAAAAAATTATTGTACCTCTAATATACTGCCTGCAAGTCTGAAAGCCTGTCAAGTTTGAAAAAAATAAATAAAATGTTAACTATGTTTATGTTTTAAGGCTATGTAGATGCATATTTTATGTTACATAATATCTCAAGTTTTTATTTTAGCAGTTTGCTGGATAGAAAAATTTAAATATTAAAGGATTCATTAAATCATTGAAAAATCATTCTAAAAGCAGTTATAATTATTTTGGTGAAACACTGAGCCCAAGCAGGAACTCCTACTTAGAGTTGGGGAAATGTGAAGTTAAAATGTGTCATTATTGTGGCTATAGAGTAAATTAAGGGAGTTGTAACTGCCATAGCAAATAACTAATGAATTTTGTGGACCAGTTCTACCTAATGTTAAATTTTAAATTATTATGTAGCCAATGGAATATTACTCGGCCTCAAAGAATGAAACTATAGCATTTGCCAGTAAATGGATGGAACTGGAAAATAACATACTAAATGAAATAAGCCAATCCCAAAAAACCAAAGGCTGAATGTTCTCTCTGATATGTGAATGCTAGCCCCTAACAAAGAAAGGTAGAGAGGGGAAATAGAGAAATTCATTGTATTAGACAAATGGGAATAAAGAGAAGGAAGGAGAAATGGGATCAGGAAAGACAGTAGAATGAATAAGGCAGAACTTTCCTATGTGCATATATGAATACACAACCAATGTAACTCCATATTATGTTCAACCACAAGAATAGGATCAAAATTATAATGGACTGAGACTTCTACTGGATTGGGTTGCCTGCTGAGGCGAAGACTGGCTTCATTCTGGCTTCTTGATTTTTTTTTATCAGATCTTCATTTTCTTAGGTCTTTACCTAAGTTTTAAAGACTTGTTCTTTTTATCTTTTTTTTTCCTCTTTTTGAGGAACATGAGCATGGATCCGGCTTTTCCGCAAAGTTTGCCTTGCTTGGAAGCATCTGATTCTAGGGTCTTTTCACCAATACCTGTGATTAATGGTCCCGAAGAAATTTATCCACCTGTTCAAATGTCATCTGCTGAGATGCCCCTCACAGAGACTGCAGTCTCTCCCTCTCCATCCTCCATGGACCTGCTTATTCAGGATAGCCCTGATTCTTCTACCAGTCCCAAAGTGAAACCATCCACTTCTGTACAGGAAAGCACAATAAAGAAGGAAGACAGTAAGATCCAGGTCAAGAAACAGAAGATGCGCACAGTGTTTTCTCAGACTCAGCTGTGTATACTAAATGACAGGTTTCAGAAACAAAAATATCTCAGCCTCCAGCAGATGCAAGAACTTTCTAGCAATCTGAACCTTAGCTACAAACAGGTTAAGACCTGGTTCCAAAACCAAAGAATGAAATGCAACTGGCCAAAGATGGTGAAAGCCATAGGTATTTTAGTACTCCACAATCCATGGATTTATTCCTAAATTACTTTCTTAACAGGCAGTCTGAAAATATGTAAGGATGGGTACATGATTCATTTTTGGTCTGGGCAGTGGCTAAATTCCTTCCTTGAAGGATTTTTTTTAAAGAGATAGAGAATTTTAATATTTATTATTATTTTTTTTTTTAGTTTTCGGCAGACACAAAAATCTTTGTTTGTATGTGGTGCTGAGGATTGAACCCAGGCCGCACGCATGCCAGGCGAGCGCGCTACCGCTTGAGCCACATCCCCAGCCCCTGAAGGATTTTTTTAATATTTATTTTTTAGTTTTAGGAGATACAATATCTTTATTTTATTTTTATGTGGTGCTGAGGACCAAACCCAGTGCCTCACACTTGCTAGGTGAGCATTCTACCACTTGAACCACAACCACAGCCCGATTTTCTTTTTCTTAACTTTGGAGCTGTATACTTTTCTGCTTGATATCCTGGTTCTCATTGTGCTACTGTGCCAATTTGAGGATTTTGAGTCTGATTAGAGACTCATCAAAGACAAGTTTTTGTGTGTATATGGTGCTGGGGATCAAACTCAGGGCCTCATGCATGCTAGGAAAACATTCCACCACTGAGCCATATCCCAGCCCTCAAAGAGATTTTTTGGTGTGTGTGTGTGTGTGTGTGTGTGTGTGTGTATGTATGTATATATATATATATATATATATATATATATCTGTTGATAGATCTTTATTTTATCTATTTATATGCAGCGCTGAGAACTGAACCCAGTGCCTCACATATGCCAGGCAAGGGCGCTAGCGCTGAGCCCCAGTCCCAGCCCCAGCCTAAAGAAGTTTTAATAGCCTTGCTTGCTACAGGCAAGATGTCTCTGGCTACAGATAAGAACTATTACTAGTTTGGATATCTTTTTTTATTTTTTATTTTTAGATGTTGATGGACCTTTATTTTATTCATTCATTTATATGTGGTGCTGAGAATCGAACCCAGTGCCTCACATATGCTAGGCAAGCACTCTTCCACTGAGCCACAACCCCAGCCCCTAGTTTGGATGTCTTTAGGATATAGAGTCTTCACCTTAAGAATAGGAAGTAAAAAGTACAAAGAAGTATAAGAAGGATTAGTTCTACTTTCTGCTACTGGAAGATTTTACTTATTAAAAAGTCAGTTGTTGCTGGGCATGGTGGTGCACACTATAATCCCAATGGCTCAGGAGGCTGAGCATGAAGACTCTGACTTCAAAGTTAGCCTCAGCAACTTATCAAGTCCCTAAGCAACTCAGACCGTGTCTTTAAATGAAGTATAAAAAGGGCTGGGGATATGGTTTAGTGGTTGAGTTCCCCTGGGTGGTTCAATCCCTGGTACCAAAAAAGGCAGTTGTTGAGGTGAAGAGTGAAGGGTTAAGCTACATAATGTGCTTCATTGATTTCCTCCACCTGTTTGGACTCTTATTTTACTCTAATGCCTAATTTGCTCATTAATATTTGTAGAAAGATACTTAAGATATTTTATACTTAGTCACATTCTGATAAATCAGTACCCATTTGGCTAATTTAAGTACAAATGAATAAAAGATCTATTTTACCTTTAAAAAAAATATAATGGGCTGCAACCCATGTATGTATAATATGTCAGAATACATCCTATTGTCATGTATAGCTAAAAGCAACAAATAAGAATAAAATAAATAAAGATTTTTTTAAAAGTAAAAAAAATTATTATGTAGCTTTGAAATGATTCCAAATACAAAATTTGCCATATTTCCTATTTCTCTATTTCCCCTCCCTACCATTCCTTGTTAGGGACTAGCATTCACATATCAGAGAGAACATTCAGCCTTTGGTTTTTTGGGATTGGCTTATTTCACTTAGTATGTTATTCTCCAGTTCCACCCATTTACTGGAAAATGCCATATTTTTTCTGTGATAACAACTTGAAGGGTAAGCCCCTTGCTATGAGAATGTTATATCATGCTTTATCAGAACCCATATGTGAGTTTCTGACTTCAACCATTAGACTCCAAAATATGTATTAAACTCAAAGAGTTTGGCAGATACTTTGAGAGCTTAGGTTGTGGCAAACCACACTGTGTTGGCCACTTCTCCAAAGATCGAGAGCTTCTGCCAGGCAGGGCTGTCCAGGTAGCCTTTGAGCCAAGTCCCAAAGCCTGGCCAGGCAGCACCAGCACTGCCCACATGTCTAGTCTCTGCTGAGAACTACTCTTACGCAGGAATACTTGAAACAATCAAACTTTTACTTTCCATCCTAATTGTGCCACTGTAGACTTTAATAATTAGACTCCAATGAAACTGGAACTTACACACTATGTGGTTTATGTATCTTCCCTATTGAATATATTCTCTGTGAAATTTATTTCCAATATTATTCTCCTCAAACATAAAAAAAAAATCTTTGTGTGGCAGTAAAATGTGTGTTTCATAAAAATCATACTTTGATCATCTCCTTATTTTAACTGTACAAAACAAAGTATAGCCAGGCATGGTGGCACACATCTGTAATCTCAGCAACTCAGGAGGATTGCTAGTTCCTAGGCAGCCTCAGCAACTAATAGAGGCCTAAGCAACTTAGTGCCTGTATCAAAATAAAAAATAAAGGGCTGGGGATGTGACTCAGTGGTTAAGCAACTCTGGGTTCAATCTCTGGTACTTTAAAAAAAAAAAAAAAGTAAGTGTAAGTTGTTCTACAAATTCCTGCTGCTGTCCTAACCATTCCAGAAGCCTTGTGTTAGTGGTACTAGTGGTAGCTGGGGAAATGGAAGACTATGGGGCCAAGTCCATACTGGATTTTGATGTGAAAAAAGGACAGAGGTCACCTGAAGACATACAGAACAGAGAGAACTTGCCAGGGTTACCAGATATAACAGGTCCAGTAAAACTATAAGCCCTCAAAGAAATCCTGAGTTACTTTAGATTTGTCTGTTTTCAACGTTAATAAGTGGAATAATTCTATTTGAATTAGATTTATTCTATTTGAATTTTAAAGAAAAAGGTAATCAGGCTGGGGATGTGGCTCAGTGGTAGGGTGCTTGCCTAATGTGTGAAGCCCTGGGTTCAATCCCCAGTACAGAAAGAAAAAAATAATAAAGGTAATCTCTAAATTTAAGGGTTCCCCAGTACCTGATCTTTTACTACCATTACTTTTTTGTTTGTTTGTTTTATTTAATGCAAATGGGTGAATTGTTCTAAACAGTTAAGGGAAAAAACAGTATTAATTCGATACATAATCCTTCAGAAAGCCAGGGAAGAAGGAACACTTCCCATTTAGTTTTGTTTTGTTTTGGTTTGTTTTTTTTACCTCAGCAATACCCCAGTATCAAAAAGAGGCAAGCCAGGTGTGGTGGTATAAGTCTATAATCCCAGCTACACAGAGGTTGAGGCAGGAACATTTCAAGTTGCTTGGGCAACTTGGTGAGACTCAATTTCAAAATAAAATAAAAAGGGATGGGGATGCAGTACCTGCCTAGCATGTCTGAGGCCCTGGGTACAATCCCCAGTGCTGTGGGGGAAAAAAAAAAAAAAAGAACAAAATAACAGAGATACAAAAATCCAAATTTTAAAACACTGAACACAAAGCAACAAAACAAAATGGGTAGTGCCTATGAGCAAGGCTAGGCTAATTTCTAGTTATTAGCCTAGAAATGCATTAAAAAGTCGATTATATTTTACCATATTAACAGGAAAAAATACAATTAGTACAGACAGAAAAATAACTTGACAAAATCCAACACCTACCCATGCATGATAAATATTCTCAGCACACAAGGACTAGAAGGGAACTTTGCCAACCTGATAAAGCCTGCGTAGTTAAGCTCATACTTATTGGCAAAAGACTTAATGCTTTCCTACTAACACCATCTCTCGGAATCTATACAAGAGGACAAAGAAAATAAAAGGCATAGAGATTGGATAGGAAGGAATAAAATTGTCTTATTTGCAGAATCTACAAAAACTAGAACTATTAAGTAAATATAGAAAGGTCTCAGGATTCAAGGTCACTGTATAAAAGATAAATTGTATTTCTATATAGTCACAAGAGTCATAAATTGAAATTTGAAAAAAGTGTCATTTACAATATCAAAAAAACAAGAAATATCTAAGGATAATTTTAATAAATATGTATGACTATACACATAACATTATAAAATATAATTGAAAGAAAGCTTTGAATTAATGTAGAGGGAGAGATCATGTTCACTGAAAAAAACACCAATTCTTCCAAAATTCATATATAAATATGTGTGTATATATGTGTATATATATATGTATACTCTCTCTCTCTCTCACACACACACACACACATATATATATATATATATGGGTTTTGTTTTTTTTTTTGAGATGATCTCACTATGTTTCCAGGCTGGCCTTTAACTCCTAGGCTTAAGCTTTCCTCTAGCCTCAAACTTCAGAGCAGCTGGGGCTTCTAGCTAATGCACTCTGCTAAACTGATAATTCAATGCAATCTCAAACAAAATCACAACAGTCTGTTTCGTAGAAATTGATCAATTTGATCATCAGTTGATCCTAAAGTATATATAAAAATGCAAAGGATCTAGAATAAGCAAATTATACTGAAAAAAGGACAATGCTGATATGCTCATATGAACTGATTTTTAAAAATATTTTATTAGTTATTGATGGAATTTTATTTATTTATTTATTTGTATGTAGTGCTGAGAATCAAACCCAATGCCTCACACATGTAAGGCAAGTGCTCTACCACTAAGCTACAATCCCAGCCCTTATCATATGAACTGAATTTGAGACTCAGGATTTATAGTAAACAAGACAGTGTGTGGGTAGAGTAAAACAGATATATAGGTCAGTAGATCATATGGAACAATTAAAAATCCAGAAACAAATCACGCAAATTAATGGAGATAGGCAAAGCTGGAACAAGTAGAAGTCCACATGGAAAAAAATAAATACTACCTTTACTCTCTCCCCACACTATAAAGAATAATGTGTTTGAAATACAATAAAGACCTAAATCTGTAAAACTTCTTGAACACAAGTGAGAATATCTTGCAATCTTGTGTTCAGCAAAGTTTTCAGGTGAAAAAACAACACAAAAGGAAAAAATGAAAGAACTGCATAAAATATAACTAGCTCTTCAAAAGACAATTTTAATAAAATGAAAAAGTAAGCCACAGACTGGTAGAAAACATTACAAAATATATATTTAAGGGGCTGGGCTGTAGCTCAGTGGTAAACTGCTTGCCTTGCATGTGTGAGGCACTGGGTTCGATCCTTAGCACCACATAAAAATAAAGATACTGTGTGTTCATCTGCAAATAAATAAATATTTAAAAATATATAAATATTTAATAAAGGATATGGTATAAAACATCTGAAGAACTCTAATATTATATAGAAAGAACCCTCAGATACGTGAAGCCATTGATTTACTAAATGGGCAAAAGATTTCAATAAACCTTACTTCACCAAAGAGAGAGCATAGATAGCAAAATAAGTACACTCAAAAGACACTCAGTATCATTAATCATTAGGGAAATTAAAATTAAAACCAAAACAAGATTACACTACAACTCTTAGCAAAAGTTACACTACAACTGTTAAATGTGGAATGACATAAAATGCTGGAGAGAATGTAAAATTGTCCAAGCACTTCAGAGTACAAGCACTTAGCAGTTTCTTTTGAAGATATCCAACC